TGTTCCCTGACGCGGAGATTGAGGTTGCGGGCGGCGCGCAAAAGACGGGATGGGAAGAAGTGTACGCGGAGCTTTCGAGTGCTTTTTGCAGCTACCATTTAGACCGCCCGCTAGGCCTGCAACAGCTGGTGCTGGAAGGCGCGACTGTCGTGGACAGTGTCGGGCAACTATTTGCCCGAGAGAGCTGTGCGGTCAACACACCTTCCCTGCTTGCCAGCTCCATCCTACAGGTGGCCTGTGCCATGGACACGTTTGCCACTAACGAAAACCGTACGCTCGACTTCTACCGCGACTTCAGCCCCCACGAAACTCGCCGCTCGGGCCAGCTCGTGCTCGCCCTGCAAGGTCACGTGAGAGAGCTACTTGAGCAGTGGCCCGAGCACGCAACCTTGCAGCAGCTGTTCCGCATCTGCGAGGAGTATCTGTCGTACCGGGCAGACACGCCGCTGTTCCGGCTGCTGGCGAAAATTGAGCAGATCTACACGTTTGTGAACGAGTGGGAGAAATATGCGCACTCGGGTGTGTCGTTGCAGCGGCACTTCCAGAATCTCGCCGATCTGGTTGTGTCTTGGAGACGGCTGGAGTTGAGTTCATGGAAGGAGATTCTAGCGAACGAGGAGCGCGCCATCGAGACCAGTATGGGCAAGTGGTGGTTCCATTTGTTTGAGAGCGTTGTTGTGCCGGAAAAGCAGGACGTGGCGCAGCTGGTGAGTGCCGTGAATGTGTTTATTTCGCGGGCCTCGCGCGGAGACATGAAACACCGGTTCAGGCTGGTGCAGGCATTTGCAGAGCATGTTAAATCTCAGCAGGAGCTGTATGACGCACTGTACAACGTGCTAGACTTTTTCCAGCCGTTCCTGGTTGCCGTTGAGAACACAGTGACTGAAGAAAAGAAGGTGCTGGAAAAACAGGTCAAGGAAGTCATTTTGCTAGCCAGCTGGAAGGATGTCAACGTCGACGCTCTGAAACAGAGCTCGCGCAAGTCGCACCAGAGCCTCTACAAACTCGTGCGCAGATACCGGGATGTTTTGAACGGCACGGTGGATGATATGATACAGAGTGGACTAAATGCACCGGTGACACAACTTTTGCCAAAAAATATTGGTACCTGCCTTGTTGAGCTTGGAGACATGCCGCCTACAGACATTGCAATGTTCAGGAACATCCGCACTATCCACCGCAACATGGAAACCTATCTTGGTGAACTCGCAGCGGAGTCTGTTGCTCCGTTCTATGAGTTCTGCCACGAGATAATCCAAGCAGCAGAAAAGCTGCGTGCAGAAACGCCAAAAACGCTAACCGACGAGAACAAAAAGCAAGTGGCGGCTCTTAAACAGGAGAAGCGCAAGTTGCTGAGCGACACTTTGAAGGAGCTGCGTCGCAGCGGGCTCAAGCTGCAGACCAACACCAAAACGCAGGCGCTGTTAGCGTCGACGACGGCGGTGCTGGCCAATGCGCGTACGTTCCGCCACACAGCCCTCGAGGGCTGCGATGTGTACTTTTTCCGTGTGCTGGAGCTGCTGCCTCGCTTGCGTGCGGCCGTTGCTAACTGCCACGCGGAGGTGCCCGTGACGGACGCGCAGAAGGCGCTAGCTGCTGCTGAGAACGTGCTGGTGTCGCTAGTTGCGACGCGACACAAGATTGGAGATGTTTGTGCTGCACGGGATGCTGTGGAGAAAGCACTGAGGACCTTGCGCCCTGCCACGACAGACAAGATTATCGGTGTTGATCCATACGCCACACAGGTCGTTGCCATGGTGACCAAGTTGCCCGAGGTGGTTGCCATGGCAACCAAGGTTTCGGAGGTGGCTGCAGGGCTCGAAGCGGGCCCTGTGCTGAAAGTTGAGGACCTGCAACTGGTACTCGAGAACCGGCTGCTCACACAGAGTGACTGGGACAAAGTAAACGTTGCGCGGCGCGGACTCGACTCCCTGCGCACACAGCTAGCCGAGTGGAAACAGACTCATCCAGCACTCGCTTTTATCGCAGACACAGTGCTGGACTGGCTCGATGCGTCGGTCTCGCTCGAGCAGCTGTCGCTGGTCGACCACGATGCCAATGTCTCCGCGGCCGGCAGCGAGTTGTTTGGCTCTGTTCTGGTCAGTATCCAAAAGATCCGGCAGTTGCAGGCGGGAGGATCCGACGACGATGCAGACAACTGGTTTGTGGAGAGCCAGCATCGATTGGCGAAAATGATGGGCCTCTTGTATGGCGATGTGCTGAAGGAGCGGGTTGGCAAATTTGTGCGGTTGTTGGAGCAGTTGCACTACGACGATGACGTTGACGGATCTGTGCGCGGGCTGTTGTACTACGTGGTGCCCGTTTTGGAGCACTACTTCAACGCGACGAGTATTGTGCTGCGCAAGGCGCAGGCCAACTACGTGGGGGTGTCACGTGGTCTTTTTGAGCTGTGCACGCTGCTGCTGAGCGTTGCCACCGACGGGTTCTGCTCGCCGGAAGGGGCCAGCGACGAGGAGTCCGGGCCTGCGGAGAGCGGCACTGGGCTGGGAGACGGCGACGGCGCGATGAACCACTCGAAGGACGTGGAGGAGGATGAGAATCTGGATGATCTTGTTGGCGGAAAGCAGGAGCAAGAAGACAAGGACGAAGAAGCCGATAACGACGACGCGGTCGACGTGGAGGGCGACATGCAGGGCGACCTGGAAGAGATGGACGCTCAGAACGGCGACGACGAAGACGAGGGTGAGAACTCGCAGGAGTCTGCCGACGAGGAGGTTGGCGACGTGGACGATCTGGACCCCAACGCTGTGGACGAGAAGATGTGGGATGAGGAGGCGTCCAGCGAGAAAGAGAAAGAGAAGGACGACCTGAAGGGCCAGGCGGGCGAGGACATGGAGGCCGTGGACGAGGAGAAGCAAGGGGACGGCGACGGAGAGCAGGAAAAGGCCGAGGAGGCGAGCGACGGAGAGCAGGAGGACGTTGGCGAGCAGGAGGACGAAGTCCGCGACGGCGACGACGCAGAGATGCAGGCCGAGCAGGGCGAGGCGCTGGAGCTGCCGGAAGACCTGAATTTGGATGGTGAGGAGGAAAGCGAGCAAGAAGAAGCGGATGATATGGAAATTGATGAGGCAGAGGAGAACGAGGGTGCCGAGGAGGAGGGAGAAGAAGAGAAAGAAGAAGAGAAAGAAGAGAAAGAAAAAGAAGAGGATGCAGAAGAGGAGGCTGACGGTGCGGAGGAAGCTGGAGATGAGGGCGAATTGGCTGAGGAGGAGGCAGAAGAGGCAGCGGAAGGAGAAGCAGAGGAAGGAGATGCAGAAGAGGGAGAAGCAGAGGAGGGAGAAGCAGAGGAAGGCCCAGGGGAGGAGTCTGAGGAGCTCAAGACGGAGCCCGCTGCAGAGGCGGACGCAGCCGACGCAGCAGAGGGCGGTGCGGACAGCGCGCCAGACGCCGTGCGGGACGCAGACTCGGCAGCGGTAGCAGATGACGGCGCGCAGGCCGAGGGCGCCAGCGCCAGCGCAGAGACAGAGCAGGACAACGTGGGCGCGAGCGGCGCGGCACAGGCGCAGGACGCGCAGGAGCAGACGGACCGGTCGCGCGAATCGGCCGCCAGCACGCTCAAGCAGCTCGGCGACTCGCTCAAGGAGTTTTACAGACGGCACCAGGAAATACTGGAGGCAGACGAGGACGCGGCGGAGCAGACGGGCGAGAAGCCGGACGAGTTCCAGCACCTGGACGGAGAGAACGCGCAGAGCGACACCCAGGCCGTGGGAGCTGCGGCGCAGGAGCAGGCAATGAAGATGGACGACGAGATGGAGATCGAGGAGCCGGAACAGGAGCCGAAACAGGAGCCGGAGCAGAAGCAGGAGCCGGAAGCCGCCGAGGGCGGTGACGCGGGCGACGTCGAGGGCGTCGAAGGCGTTGCCGACATTGTGGTGACGGATCGCGCGCGAGACATCAAGCAGGAGCGCGCGCCCGGTCTGCAGACAGACGACGAGATGGACGAGGACTCGGACGAGATCGACGCGGCGATCGACGCAGCCACACCTCGCACCACGGCGATGCGTCCGCTGGAGGAGGCCAGTTTGCTGTGGCAGCGGGCGGACGAGGCGACACGGGAGTTCACGGCGGGGCTGTGCGAGCAGCTACGGCTAATTCTCGAGCCGACGGTGGCCACAAAGCTCAAGGGAGACTACAAGACGGGCAAGCGGCTCAATATGAAGAAGATCATCCCGTACATTGCGTCCCAGTTCCGCAAGGACAAGATCTGGATGCGCAGAAACAAGCCTAGCAAGCGCCAGTACCAGATCATGATTGCCGTCGACGACTCCAAGTCGATGGCCGAGTCGAAAGCCGTCGAGATCGCGTTCCAGTCGATTGCGCTCGTGTCCAAGGCGCTGACGCAGCTCGAGTCCGGCCAGCTCTCGGTCGTCAAGTTTGGCGAGTCTACTGACGTGGTGCATCCGTTCGATGCGCAGTTCACGGCCGATTCAGGCACAAAAGTGTTCCAGCAATTTACATTCGAGCAGACGCGCACCGACGTGCGCAGGCTGGTGGTTACGTCTCTGGAGCTGTTTGCTGCTACCAGGCCGGCTTCGGAGAATCTGTGGCAGCTGGAGATTGTTCTTTCGGACGGGGTGTGCGAGGACCACGACACGATCCGGCGACTGGTGCGGCGCGCGCGCGAAAACCACATTATGCTGGTTTTCGTGGTCATTGACGGCATCGCCAACACAGAGAGCATATTGCAGATGAGCCAGGCTAAATACGTGCCCGACGCGTCAGGCGAGCTCAAACTGCAGGTGGACAAGTACCTGGACACGTTCCCATTCGAATACTACGTGGTTGTGAGTGAAATCGAGGAGCTGCCGGAGATGCTAGCCTCTATTCTGCGCCAGTTCTTTGCCGAGACGGGAGAAAGATAGGTGGTGTAGAGAATAATTATTTGATTAGCTAACATTTTGTAAAAAGAAGTTGTTCGCCTTCTCCTTCCCTCGCGTTCTCCTTCCCGCATTCGCAGCCCCTTATATCTTGTTCCCCAGGCCCACGCAAATTTTCATTCCTTTACCCATGGCCAACTACAGAGAGTACCAGAAGGTGCTCAAGCTCACGACGCGCGAGTCCCACGTTACTGTCACGCCGCCAGCTTCGAGTCCCGAAGCGTCGCCTACGCTCGCTCCCCAAAACTGCGGTGCGGAGCGGAAAAAAAAAATCACACGAACAAAGACGGGCTGTTTCTGCTGTCGAAGAAGAAAGAAGAAGTGCGACGAGAAGAAGCCGGCCTGTTCTGGCTGTGTGCGCAACATGCTCACGTGCGTGTATCCCGACAAGGACGAGATCGCCAGGTGCAAGCGCAAACGCAAGCCTCAGAGCCAGGAACACATCCCTTTTCTGCCGCTCTCGCCACTCAGCTCCCCCACCATCAGAGAGCGAGAATATACCATGGAACGCACAAGACCGACGCCCACGAGCGAGATCCCAGAGGTGGTCCTCACGCCCAAGTGGCGCCCGTCCACGGGAATCAGCATCAAAAGTTTACTAAATTAGCAAATGCATATGTAGAGCGCAACATATTACTTCACAAGCTTCTCGCCCTTCGACTTCTTCTTATAGTCTGCCAGGCTGAACTTCTTCACCACCTTGGGCTTCTCCTCCTCTTTGGCTTCCACCACCTCCACCTTGGTCCGTTCCTTGACAGCCACCGGCACCGGCACGTACAGCTTGTCGGACGCTTCCAATGGCGCGGTTTTTGGTTCCTGCAAATATTTTTTGATGATTTGGTATTTCGGTGGCAGGACCAGCGGGTCCAAAGGCGCGGGACTGGCAGACTCGAACTTGATCTGCGTTTCGTCCTCCAACGGCCTGCCCAGCGATTCCAGAATCACTCTATCTCTGTGCAACGCGCGCGAGTCGTACGGCTCGTACGTCTGTTCCAGCTCTGGCACGTTTTTCCTGCTCTGCCGTTGCGAACCAGCGCCCAATTTCCTCACTTTCGCCAACAAACAGTCTCCGGACGCGCACCCGCACTCCGTGAGGTCCAGCACCGCCTGCACAGACGCCACGAGCTTGGCCTGCTCCTCGTGCGAAAGGGCGTCGATCGACGCGTCTCTCAACTTGCGGATCGGGTGCGCAGCGTCCCACTCCCATGGCACAGTCAGCTCAGACTCGCTCTCGATCCTCTTCGTCGCCGCAAGCACAAACCGCAGCTTGTTTCCAACTACCACCGACCGCACCTCGCAGTTAGGGAAACACGACTTGCGCACAAACCTCGTCACGTTTCCCAGTCCTCTCTGGTCAACCACCAGCGGGAGCTGCGGATGGAAAAACGTCTTTGGTTTCGCACAGCCCAGCAGCCAGTACTGGTTCCACCTCTCGCCAATATAGTTGTCCTTTAAGTCAATCTCGCCGACGATCTCGCTCAGCAACTGGTTAGGGCGCACGTCCACGGTCGTGCTTAGGTATAGTTTCGATAATCCGTTAAATCGCGCCTTCGCGTTCTCTGTAATCGACCTCACCTCCAACTTCGACTTGTCTAGCAGTTTGCCTGCAAACTCCCGTTCGTCTTTGAACTCCAGCACCTCGCCATCCTTCTGCAACAGCAGGTTCGCCAACTTTTTCACCAACGTCTTGGCCTCCCCTGATTTGTACTCGAAACTGTCGATTTCCACATACAGCGTCTGGTACCGCTCCACGATCTCTCCGGTGGCCTCTTCCTCGTCACCGGCCTCTACAGAGGCCGTTTTTTGTTTTTTGGACCGCGAGCTCGGCGGTTTCGAGTCCACCAGCTCCTTGCGTCCTTGGCCGGCCTCGGCCTGCGCGTCGTTACCCGAACGACGCCGTTTCGGTTGCACTCTCACCGATTGCAGCTGGCGCGCCTTGTCCGCGTTCACCACAAGACTTGGATCGCACAAGTAGCACAGATATGTCTCCGGCACGTCGTCGATGTCGTCAATGCCCATACAGACGGCGTGCTGCCAGCGGAAACAGCGGTCGCACTGGATCGTGAACCCGTCATCGTGCTCGTACCCACACACACAGCCAATCACGCCGCTGTCTGGGTCGACAGCGTACGAAACAACGGAGTCGGACCGTTTCTCCTCCTCCTTTTGGTCTTTGTCTGGCTTGTCTTCCTCTTTATCTCTGGTCAGCAGGGGCAACGGCGTCGCCGCAGCGGCTGCAAGGGCGGCTGCAGCAACGATTGCCTTGTTGTTGGACGATCCACTAGCAAGAGCGGCCGCAGCAGGACCAGGAGACGTCACGACGCCCTGATCAATCTGCCGCACCGACGGGCTCTGTTTGCCCTGCGTGGGGGCTTCCGGCACGGGAGACAGCGACGGCTGCGTCTCCTCAAAGGCGCCAGCACTAAGCCGCTGCGACTGGTGCGAAAAGAGCATCAGCAGGCCCGCAGCCTCTGTGTCCTGTAAATCTGGATGGCTTGTCATAACTAAAATATTTTTTATTTCATCTCACCTAAGGTCGATAGTCGCGAGCATAAATTTTCTTCCTTAAAATTCTTTGCCATCAATGGCTCACAGATTACTGGTACAGGTGGTGTTCACGGGCGCACGGGTGTTCGGACGCGCATTCACAGAGGCATACAGACAGGCCGCGGCCGCTACGACGGCTCAGCAGGCCCAGGGAGCGGCGAAGCAGACCACAAGGGCAAGAGACACAGACATTTCCCTGGACGAAGCGTGCAAGATCCTGGACGTGCAGCCAAGCGGGCTGAGTCTGGACGCGGCGCAGAAAAAGTACGACTATCTATTTGACGTGAACTCCAAGGAGAAAGGCGGCTCGTTCTACGTGCAGTCGAAGGTGTTCCGTGCCATGGAAAGAATCAAGAACGAACTCGAGCATTTGGAGAAAAATCAGCGAGCGCAAGAATAAATGTGTAAAATCTGTGTATATAGAGCAAGGTTTACAATGTCCAAACACCATTAGTGGACGAAGCAACTGCCACAGTCGTAGCATGCCCCGTCGTCTGGCTAACGTATCTGGTTATTCTAAGGACCTGAACGGAGTGTCTACCGTGGCTCTGTTGTTAGCAGAGTCGGTTCAGACACTTAGCTGATCTCAGACCCACACAACTGCCACCATCGCAGCTGCTAGGGACTGAATGGCCCTATATTGTAATATACTAGTTTAGTATACCTACTGATGTGAAGAAATTTTACATGTAGAAAAAACTTTTTATACCGTCCAGACACACACCACACACCACACACCTAGATCCCCAGACCAAACAGCATCTCCTCTGCGTCCTCGCCCAGCTGCACAACGCCGCCAGGAACCTCCTCTGCCACCTCGTCGCTGTCTGTCTTCCCCATATACTTGGGCTTGGCCCACTTGGCGCGCTCCTTTTCGTAGTCCCACACCGTCTGCGCGTTTTTTTCCAGCTCTTCCAGGCTGTGCCTGTTCATCTGCTGCTCCAGCTCTTCGATCTCGCCGTCAGACCCGGGCTCCGGCGTGTTCACCTCGCGCATGATCACCTTGCCTTCTCTTATGGACATGTCCAGAACCTTTTTGCCGCGGCCAGTCCGTCGTTTCTCCTCGTCCTCGAGTCTCTTCATTTCTCGCTGCTGTTTCTTTAACTGCAACGCTCTCTCCACCGGCGACGCCCACGGGCTCAGACTGTTGGTCGGAAGCTCAAAGTCGGAGGCCTGGTCGATTATTCGCGTTCTTTGTGCGCCGTTTGCTTGGAATTCCAGCAACTTGTCCAGCCGTTGCTCTGCCTGGAGCAGCTCATGGTCCTTGCCCTTGGTGGCCTCCAAGTACTCGATCTGCTTGACAGCCGCAGCGACCTCTTCCTGCTCCTTCTTGCTTTTGGACATATTTTCTCGCTCCAGCTCTTTTTTCCTCTCTATGCGCTTGAAAAGCTGGTCTTGCACCTTAAAATTGTTCTGACCAGCAGAACTCACAGAAATGGTAATCTTGCTATTTTTCTTTGGTTTTTCTTTCTCCTTCACTGTATGCTTCACGCCGTTAAGCGCGTCCTTCTCCTTCTGTAGAACCTCCGCGATCTGGCGTCTTTCCTCGCTGCTCAGCAGATCTTGGCCGCAGAAAGAGCACGGTTGTAGTCCCTCCTTGATGCAGATGATTTTGCCGCAGTTCAAACAATTCGGGAACATTTCAAACAGCGGATGTCGTGTCGCGTTGCAGTTGCACACACGGCCACCGCCCTGCGCCTCCAGTTCGATCAGAGCGTTGTCGAGCTCTTTCAAGTTGTCGAGCTTGAGATTTTTCTCCGGCCGGCGCTTGCTCTCCTCAGTCGGCTTCTTCGGGGCGCTTGCTTTCCCGTTGGGCCGCACAATCTTTATCACATTCTTCTTGGGCTTTTCCAGCGTCCTGGAAAACTCACTAATAAACTCCAGAGCGTCCGGGCTTTCGCCCAGCAAATTGATAAAATGCTGGCTCGCAGCTTCCGGTGTCTTTAGCTCCTTCACCGCGTAGTCCACCATTTGTTTCAATGTATCCTCATCCAGCGGCAAAAGCCTGCCCAACTTGGCTACTAAAGACATGAAAAATAAATATTTTTCTGTCATGTCTGAATCTGAAAAGCTAGAAGAACGCCTGCGACTGCTGGAAAATGACCTCAGGCTCCAGAAATCAAGACTCGTCGAGAAGCTTGCTCGCAAACACGTCCAGAAGGCGCCAAAGACAGCACCAAAAAGAACGGCAAACGCACTCAAACATGACCCCGAGTTTGCCATCAAGGTTAGAGCACTCACACAGGCTGCCAAGCTTAAAAAGCGCCTCTACAAACACATATACGCTAACCAGGTCAAATTCCCCTACAAAAACCGCATCCGCATCAACAACCTCGAATTTGTCTCCACAAACAAGGGAGCCACATTGGCCCTCGTATCCTCTAAATTTTTAGACTCAAATAAACAGCTTACGTCGCTCGATGATCTGAAAACAACACTCACGTACAATGGCCACCGATATATCAAGACGCTGGACGGAGATTACATCATGCAAAATCCGCAATACTCCGACGAAAAACAGTTTTGTTTGTACTACACTCGCAGCGGAACATGCTCTAACAAGAACTGTCCCTTTGTCCACTCGCCTACACACGTTGCATTGTGTCCAAACGTGATCCAAAATAAAGACCGCATTTGCAAAAAACCTAACTGCCAATTTTCCCATACGCCGTCACAGTACAACGCCCCGTCTTGCAAGTTCTTCCAGTCGCGCAATTGCACCAACGAAAATTGCGTCTTCTCTCATAAATCGGAGAATAAAGACGCCAGAATATGCAGAGAGTTTGCTGTGAACGGCTACTGCGACAAGGGACGAGCCTGTGAGCTGGCACACTACTTTGAATGCCCAGACCTCCAGGAGCTGGGCTTTTGTCCTCGAGGCAGCTCGTGCAAACTGGCCCACAAAACCAAGGTACAACCAATGAATCATAAAGCCATTAGAAACATAGATAATGATAACGTGACACAGAAAGACCATCCATTGCTAGCAGCCATACAGGAGAGCAGCTCCGAAGAGTCGGATATCGAACAAACCCAAACGTCAGACCTCGACATGAATCACGATTATGTACAAATTGCGTAATGTCGAACAGTCGATCTTCATAGCCATGTTCTTAGAAAAACGGTGTCATGGAGCCGGGTGGCTGGCATTCCAAGGACACGACACCATGTCATCATAGCTGCCAAGCTCTTCGTCCAAAGCATAGTCGATAAAACGGTCATCTGCGCGTTCATCTCCTCGGACAATGCACACCTGGGGGTCAAACGAGCCGTCCACGTTTCCAGGCATTGGTTTTTGCCCAAGGTCTTTATCGTCAAGCTGGATAAGCGGGTACGATTCGCCAATGTACAATGGCTCGATTAAGCCGCTATCTTCGTCGTCCCCATAGTCAGAATCGTCGTCGTTGAGCTCCCATTCCTGGTCTGCTTTTCCTGGCTCGGTACTTTGAGGTTTGGTTTTCACTGCCATATAAGTATCGCTTCGGTAAGGCTTTGGATCCAATTGCTTGTTGTTGCTTTCATCCTTGAGACTTCCTGCGAACGAAAAGTTTTGTGGGTTTTGCTTTTCAGATTTGCTAAATTTGAACATGTTGAGGTGTGGCACCTTACGCAGGCGATGTGAGGAGCTCTCGTTGATATTTTCGTCGTTAACGACGCTATGGGTGTTTTTGGATAGCCAATTGAGACTTTCTGGGGTGCTTTTGGCCACAGTATTGTGTGCAGGCGTAGAAACCGATTCTGACGCGCTCAAGACCGTGTTCTTGAAATAATTCATTTTGCAAAGCTCGTCGACGCCAATACGATGATCCGGGTCCCAGACCAGACAGGCTTTCACGACATCACAGAGTTCTTTTCTGTCGTTGTCAGGAAGATCAAATCTAGGAATCAGTTCCTCGATAGAGGCGCCAGGGAGCCTTGGCAAGTGGAATCCGAGATTGCTAGACAATTTTTGAGCATCGTCCCAAAATCCGCCAAGAGGTGCTTTCTCGCTCTTTTCAGGGCATCCGAGGACCTCCAGGACCCTCCATGTTTGGTCGAGCTCGTTGCTCCCTGGGAATAACGGGAGAAACGTTGCCGATTCAACTGCCACACATCCAAATGCCCATATATCCACGGGATAGGAGTAGTGTTTTTGTCTCAGCAAGATTTCTGGGGACCTATACCATCTGGTAGAGACATAGGCCGTGTAAGGCCTTTTGTTCTCGACCTGTCTTGCGAGTCCATAGTCTGCCAGCTTGATCACGTATGCCTGGTGTCTCTTGTTTTCGGGAATATTTTCCTTGGAGCCATAGAAGTTTGAGGACTGCATGATAAGAACATTTTCCGGCTTGACATCTCTGTGGTAGTAGCCGTGTTTATGGATGTGTCTTATGCCAGCCAGGATCTGGGACAAGATTGATTTTAAAGTGTATGGGGAGAACAAGCAATTTTTCCTGTACTTCATAAGCTGGTACAAGTTTTGATCCATTGATTCCATGACTATATGGAGCTTGAATGTCTCCTTGTCAATGAAAATGTCATAGATCTGGACCAATGAGGGGTGAGACGACACGGCAAGAATGAACTTGACTTCCTTCACCTTTGAGTAGTCGTCCAGATTGGCCAGTCTTCGAGTCATTGTCTTGATAGCCACCACATCAAGCTTCGCACGGTTGACGTTTTTCAGCGGCTCCAGGAGAGTCCCCTGACAAAATTTCATCTCGTCAAAGATGCCTGCGAGCGCGTTGGCGCGGACCTTAGCCAACGTCACGGTTCCAAAACTACCCGATCCCAGGTTTCCCACGGTTCTGTACCGCTGAACCAGCGACTTGACGGGAATTGCCGAGCGGTAAAAGGGGGTGGTTTCCTTAGATTTTGGCACTGGCGGTGCAGACTTGAGGAACTCCTTGAGAGAGATTGTCGTGTCAACGGCTGGCGCTTGGGCGTTGAGCATGGATAATACTAAAAGTTGGGAAGAAAAAGATCGAGCGTTTAGGGGGTTGATATTTTTTCCCTTTTATGGGACAAGCGGAGAAAATACGGCTGGGAAAAGAATGCCGGGCAGTTCCTGTCAGTTATTGCATTAACGGTGCCAGCTATTTGTCATTGTGACGAGGCTGCTGGGCACTATGGAAGCAAGTGGATCAACTGTGATATAACTTTCCATGGCTGCTGACTGCCTGTCCAATATCCATAACTCGGATTTGTCACACTGGCTATTCTGTATCTACTCCATTAACTACAAACTGCTATTGATCCAATTGTTCCTATTGTGTCAGTGGGAGCCGTTTATGTGGCGGTGTAAAGTTTTCTCTCTTGAGATAAGAAGAAATTAAATAAATAATTTAATTTACTAGACAAAATTATAGGGTTCGGCCTCTATGCAATGACAGTAGACACGCCGCTCATAATTAACCAGGAGACCCTGGAGGAGCTGCAGAAACGGGACGATACACAGTCCAAGTTTGTGCGTTTGAAGAAGATGTACCTCAACGGGTTCTACTCAGACTTCGAGCTGACCATTCTACGATCGAAACCGAACGACTGTGCTATCGTGCAGAAATACTCGAGAATCGAATCATTCAGCCATTGTGGCAAGTCTGTGACGCTCAATACCTTTTTCAGTGAACATCCGCTGCGAGAGTATCAGAAGAGAAACGATCCTAATCTACAGCACGACATTCTGGAGAAGATCGAGTCATTGCCGGTTCTTGTGTTTGTGCACGGTCTAGGCGGCCAGCTGTCGCAGTTTGAACCGATTTTGCAGGAATTCCGCAACTGTGCCGACGTCTTCGGAGTTGACCTTCCTGGCTTTGGCAACTCAAAAGTGAGCACGAAGACGCACAAATTCAGACTCACCCAGTACACAGACGAGGAGCTGGCGCGCTTGGAGCGGGATGCTAAGAAGCTTGTTTCCGAAGACTACACGAGCGAAAATATTGCAGGTCTGCTGAACACCATTCTGTCGACCAAGTTTCCTAATAGACGGTTTATTCTCATCGCGCATTCCATGGGCACGCATCTGGCCACCAGACTGGTTTCGCTGCTGCCAGAGAACAAGGTCGAGTCGCTAGTCATGATCTCGCCGCCCAAATTGGCCCCAATGAATCTCCCTCGCGCTCTCAAGATGGCTCTGGGCGTGTTTACCTATCTGCCACGCCTGTTCGACGTGTACCGCTATGTGGACCGCGCGGGCGGTCTGTATTCGCCGTCGGTGAACAAGTTCATTTATCCAGAGCAAAATGACTGGTTGAAGAGAGCCACACAGTTTCGATGGAACTTGGACACCGAGTCCGAGACGTTCCTTAATTATTTGAACGGCTTTCATCTGGTGACCTCTGCAGAGCTGGTGGCTGCCGCCAAAAAAATCATCAATTCCACCAGCGAGCCGCGAATACTGATATGTTGCGGAGACTCCGATAGCGTCACCCCATACGGTGTCAGCGAGGCCATTTCCAGGGAATTGGAGTTTCACGGTATTTTAGTCAAGCTGGAGAAGATCGGCAGAGCTAATCACTCTGTTTTTCTCGACAGACCGCACTATCTGACCGGAGTTATCTACCAATTTGTCGAGAGCCTCCAATTGAACGTCAGCTGCACCTGGGTTTTGCAGGTGAAAGCACAGATCAGCGGGGACAAGTGGGGGCTGAAGAATAAGGAGAAATGGAACAAAGTGGTAACAATCTCTGCGCCGCTACGTGTTTCTGGAAAGCCCGAGGCGCCTTTGTTGGGCATGAAGACGCTTCGTCAGACCGACGAGGTGCACAATCCCTCGGCTTTCGAAAAAAACCATCCAGAGGTGGTGGCCATCATAGATATCGGATCGGATACCCCAGCGTACGACCCGTCAGATTTCAAAAGAATCCGCTACGTCAAGTTCAAAACAGAGTCGAAGGTCACGCCCGACAACGTGACGATTGTCAAGTTCATTGCAGTAGCGCACAAGATTGCCAGTGAGCTGTCATCGGGCCAGTATATAGGCGTGCACTGTCACTACGGCCAGAACCGCACCGGGTTCTTCATCTGCTGCTACTTGGTCGAGAAGCTTGGCTGGACGGTGAAAGAGGCGCTCAATGCGTTCGAGGCCGCCAAACCACCGGGAATCCGCCACGAGCATTTCAAAAACGCTCTCTATCTCAGATACGGTGAATAGCATAAATTAATCATATTTCCGACACAATTACCCAATTTTCCCTTATCCAAGGTCCTGCTATATTCTGAACGCGCTCCTGGTGTTGAAATGGCCGTAAACGTTGCTTCTATCGGTAGTTAGCGAGCTTTTCAATGGCAGCACAAATGGCAGCACCAGGCCAACCGAAACATACGCCATCGCAAGTCTCCTGTGTGTCTTAGACACCATCAGACGGTAGTGAGGATACATCCGAAAGAGATTCATCCAGGTTGCGGAAAGAGAATATGCGTCTATTTATTTATTTACCAGCACCAGAAAATAATCGAACCATACGACAGATATCGTTGCACCGCCAGAAAATTGCCAAAAAAGACAACCCGAAAATCTCAGGTGCTTTTCGGATCGTATACTTCGTAAAAGCAAGCCACATACCGGAGGTCACGTGAACTGTTTTGACTCCTACCACTTGTCCAAAATGTTGCTCAACTGCTGCTTCAGGTGCTTCTTCTCTGCCTTGTTGAGCCCGTTATGCTCCAGGTTGCGGTTCAGCCGTCTGCGCAGGTGCTCCAGGCTGCGGTCGATCGACGTGCGCAGGTTCTCCGTGTAGCTCTTTCTGAACGCGTCGAGATGGCGGAACACAGCCTTGGAAATGTTGTTGGACGAGATGGCGAAACTCAGCACCACCACCGCCACCGCCGTGTCCATCGAGATATAGTCGATCACGTGACCCACCGTGCACACGGCGAACGCGGGCAGGTTGATTGTGGCGAGGTTGTGGAGCACGATGCGGCTGATTTTCTGCTGCAGCTCCGGGAGGTCCTCGTTGAGCACCTTTTGTTTCAGCACGGCGACCGGATGGGCCAGCGGCTGCCGCGGTTCTGTGTTTGCCGGCAGCAGCAGGTCGATCTTTCCCTCTAGGTAGTTCAGCTTGGCGGTCGAGTCCAACAGCGACCCGTGGCACTTGACGGGCGTGAAGTTGAACATGCTTTTCTGGATGTATGTTTCGTCGTCAAAGAGATATTTGGAGAGCACAAGGTCGAAGTCGTCGATGTTTGGGACGATCTGTGTGATCTTGCTGAACCTCTGAATCAGCACGTCCTGCAAGTATGGGGCTATTTTTGACTGGAGCTCGAAATGGGACATCTGAGCCCAATTTTCGATCTCTTTTCTTAGTGCGTTCGTTTCCTTCACAAGGTCGGGCTTCTCCTCAAACCTGAGCTGCTCGTCAATGTCGGAGAGCAGCGACCGCAGCAGCAGGGCCGCTGGCCTGTTGCCGCTGGTTTCTCTGCTCAATGTGAACAGCAGAGCGCTGATATTGGATTTTTTCACCAGCTCGAGGTATCTGGACACGTTGTTGGGAGACTCCATGAGCAGTTCGTTGGCCAGTCTGGCTTTTTCCAGATCTACGGCGATCTCGCCCTGTGTTTGTAATTGGAACGAGCCCCCGGTCTCCGGGATCTGTGTGTTGAGGACCGAGAGAGAAGGGTAGTTGTTGATCTCCAGAGGCTCCCCAGGACGGGTCTTGACATATATGTACAGATGGCAGTCTTTGGGGGCCGACGGCTGCACGGCACTGGTTTCTGAGATGCCAGAGTCCGGGTGCAAGGTTTCTGGGTCATTGATTTCCAGGAGCTCGATGTCTCGGAACTCTTGTCTGTGCAGCTCCTTTCTCGTAGAGCCGTCGCCTAAGGTTTCGCTCTGTATCACGCGCAATTCGCGGCTCAGAAACGGAGACCGCACGCCGTTCTCGCCAAAACGGACCCAATGATTGGCTTTTTTCTCGCTCAGACGCTGCCGAAGCTGTGTATACCACGTCTGGTCGCTGTCCAGAGGGTCGCAAACTAGCACGTCTGTGAGCAGTCCGGACTGAATTCCGGGGCTCTGTACGATCCCAATTCTGACGGGCGTTGAGTATCTGTCCGTTTCTCGCGCTAGCTCGAGCAACTGGCGGGCTTTGTGTCTGATTATCTTGTTTGTGGGAAATATCGCTCTAGTCTTCTCCAGCAGGTCGGGTAGGCCATTTTGGTCTATAGTGCCAACGGATTGGTATCGCACACTTGTCCATACGAGACCTGTTGAATTTGGCCGCGCACGGACGATATTTTGGAGAACGAGAGACGGGGGTCTAAAACTCATAAACATGGTTGACTTTTTTTTTTGTTTTTTTCCCGAAAAAAACCATTTATAAGGGCCATGTTTTAGCATGTGGAGATCAAACAAGTCCCTCTTCCAGCGGCCAATTGCTCCGTTCTGTTTTACTCGGTCTTCCCACACAAACCCATTGGTAAGTTTGCAGGCCGTCTAGCTCCTCCTAACGTTCATAGGGCCTCCCAAAGACGGGTCCCCGCGTCTCGTCGCAGCGGTCCCTAGAAAACGTCCAACACATAGTTTTTGTCTCTGCGGGTAAAGGTGGCGTAGGCAAGTCGAGTGTGACTGCCAATCTCGCTGTTGCACTTCGAAACCGCAACCTGAATGTGGGGATTCTCGATTCCGACATCTTCGGGCCCAACATCCCCAAACTGATGGGTCTGCGCGGAGAACCGCGGATCAGCGCCAACAGAAAGCTCATCCCGCTGATGAACCACGGGATCCAGACGATGTCTATGGGGTATCTTGTGCCTGAAAAAGCGGCAGTCGTCTGGAGAGGCCTGATGGTGCAAAAAGCGCTGCAGCAGCTGCTTTTCGACGTAGAGTGGCGCAATCTGGACGTTCTGCTGGTGGACACGCCGCCGGGAACTGGTGACGTGCAAATCACGCTGGGCCAGCAGCTGAAAATCGACGGGGCCGTGATTGTGACCACGAGCCAGGACCTTGCGCTCAGCGACGTGAGACGCGGCCTCACGATGTTTGAGAAAATCGGTGTCCCGATCTTGGGCATTGTCGAAAACATGAGCGTGTTCACGTGCCCAAAATGCCACCACGAGGAGCACATTTTCGGTGAGAGCGAGGAACTCAAGAGTCTGCAGCAGCAGGGCGTGGCGCTTCTGGGCCGCATCCCGCTTTCAAGAGAGATGTGCGGCTCTGTGCTGCCCGCCACAGACAGGCACAGCCAGACAGGTGCTGTTTTCGAAGCGATTGCCACCGAGGTGCTGAAAAAAATATCCTAGTACTACTCCACGCGGCCGTGCGGCGCGCGCTTTGCCCAGCGCTATGCCCCAAAATCCTCGTTCTGCCAAAGAGTCGCAACACTACTTAAACACCGTCCAGAGTACTTTTTTCTGCTACACCATTGCTACCACACAGCCAAACACAGACACTTGCACAACAAAATAATATAAAACACTATATGAAGTGGTGGATTCTGACTCTCCTGGGCCCGGCCCTGGCAGACTCGGTTTTCGACAAGCTGGACGCCCGCACGCAAAACCAGGTGTTCCAGATCATCGAACGGTACAACGATCTCAAGGACGACCAAGTCCACTTCGAGGAGTGGATTTCTCCTGACAACAACGCCTACATCGTCCCGCGATACCGCGCCGCGGCCGTTGCCGATGCGCCGTACGTCTATGGCAACGGGTACCAGTTCTTTGGCTCCGACAACGACGCGGTCGGGTCTCTAGCAACAGAGACGGGACAGCAGATGGGGCTGATCAAGGAGGAGGACATTGCCGCGCAGGGCTTCCCCAACGTGTTCAAGAAGCTCAAGGAGCACATTCAGGGCTCCTGCGAGGAGGAGGGCGGCGCCGAGGAGTACTTTCCGTTCGGCGCACGCAAGTTTCTGCTTGTGGGTGTGAAGAAGGAGTCTGTTGAATTTGTTGCGGACGAAAATAGCCTGCAGGCCCAAGAGCCTGCGGACTCTGTTGACGCGAATTGGTGGCCGAAGAAGAAAAAGGAGGAGGACTGTGACGGCGAGGGGGAGCAGAAAAAGCTGTTTGGCACCGACAAGTTCTTCTTTGTGGGCATCGGCTCTGTCGACAACAGTACCGCAAAGCTCAGACCGGACTCTGGTGCGCGCTTTTCTCCGCTGTCGCCGTTGGCGTACGCCTCCAGAAACAAGCAGATCGCACAGAACGCGGCTGAGGCGTCGTCGCCCGCGCCGCCTGCCCCAACAACACTTTCTGTCAGCTACCACACAAAGCCCAACGCAAGCGTAGACCTGTTCCACCAGTTCCAGCACAACAGCAGTCTGGAAGTGCAGAATGACGCCGCCGCTTCGTCCGGCCGCGCCCTGTCGCTGATCGGCGCCGTTGTTCTGATCGGGTCGTCGGTGCTCCTGTTCTAGACATGTACCGCGCAAAAAATAATCTGATAATCATCTGCTCTACTGTAGTGCGCTGAGCCGCTCGCGCATGTTCTCCAGCAGCTCGTCGTCCACCTCCTCCGGTTCCGGCTCCTCGGGCCGCACCATCTCCGGCATTTGGACCTCTGTCTTGGGTTTTTCGTCCAGAATGTTTCTGAGCACCTCGTCGACGTCCTCGTCCTCCTCTTCTTCATAGACGTCCGTCGTTTCCAGCATATCGTCCATCATCTCGTCGATCACTCCGCTCTTCATGAGCTCTCTGCTGAGCTCCTGCACGGTGTGGCCGATCTGGGGCAGCCGGACCAGCTGGTTCATGTCCTTCATGATCTCCGTCGACTTCTGCATCGAGCCCTTGAGCTTGATCATCTGCTGCTGCTCGGCGAGCTTCATGCCAATCGACTCCAGCGTGACTTTTGAGACCGTCACGCGCTGGATGGTTTTGGCAACGTTTTTGTACTCGCGAGCGTACATTTTGGCAGTTTTCATGTCGTCCTTCTTGACGGCCGCTCTGATGAGCGTCTTTGTCTTTTTCTCGACGGCGTTGAGGTCCTGTAGCTGCCGCTCAATCTGCCGCTTGTTTTTGCGCAGCGCGCTCTGGCACCGGCGGTACTGCTCCTTGGGGTCAGGCCCCCAGATGGCCTTTTTAATAATATCCATACAGAGAGGACGATAGACGGGAAAAAATAAAGGCGACCTTTTTCCAAAGGTCGATTTCCAGCACACTGAGAAATTCGCGTGCCAAATTAATTTGTCGCGTTTTATACTGCACGCGTAATGTTGGAAGGAAAATTCGAAGAGGCCTCGTTGCTGAAAAAAGTACGTATCTGACCCGTTCGCCGCTAACACGCCAGGTGATCGAATCCATCAAGGACTCCGTCAAACTCTGTAACTTCAACTGCTCCCAGAGCAAGGGCATCACGGTCCAGGCGATCGACGACTCGAGAGTGCTGCTGATCGCCCTCAAGATCGACTCGGGCTCGTTCCAGGAGTTCCGCTGCGACAGAGACCTCGTCCTGGGTCTGGACCTGGAGTCGCTGTCCAAAATCCTCAAACAGGGCAATAACGAGGACTACCTCACCATCATTGCAGAGGACTCACCAGACTCGCTGCTGGTGGTGTTTGAGGACAAGAAAAAGGACAGAATCTCCGAGTTCTCACTCAAGCTGATGGACATCGACTCCGACGTGCTCACCATCGACGACATGGAGCACGATTGCTCGATCACGATGCCTGCGTACGAGTTTGCCAAGATCGCCAGAGACATGAAGACGCTGAGCGAGTCGCTGCAAATCATAATCACCAAGGACTCGGTCAAGTTCAACGCAGAGGGCCAGATCGGCTCTGGGTCGATTATTTTGAAGCCCCACACAGACATGGAAAAGCCAGACGAGAGCATCAAGATCGAGCTCAACCAGCCGGTCGTCCTCACGTTTGGCGCCAAGTACCTCAACGACATCGTCAAGGCCACGGCGCTGTCGTCCACCGTCACCATCAAGCTCACAGACAAGGCCCCAGCTCTGTTTGAGTATAGACTGCCGAGCGGATACCTGAGATACTACTTGGCTCCAAAGTTCGACGACGAAGACTGATTAGTAGGATTATAATTGAATTGCTAGCTCTATCATTAGTACTCGGACTCGGGCGCGTTCTCCAGCGGTGGCAGAAACGTCGATCGCACGCTGCTCTTCTCTGTCACAGGCAGTATCAGCCGGAACGCGTCGTGCTTGTTCAGATAGTAGCGGAACAGCCGTTTCACGCGTAGAAACCCAAAGTTCTCGTACAACCGCAGCGCGGCTTTGTTCACCACCTCTGTCTCCAAAATGATTTCGTCGCAGTGGTAGCTTTCGATCATCGAGTCCACGCTCTGCGAGATTAGCTCCTTGGCGATTCCGCGGCCACGATACTCGTTGTCCACCGCCAACATCCCAATATACCCACGTATCCTGGCGTGTCTGTGCGGCTCGACCTTTGAGATGATGCATCCAATGACCCTGCCCTTGTGCTTGGCCATGATCGTCAGATTGGGCCAGTTGTTGAGGAAAAACCTGTACACGTAGATCGAGTACGGCTCGCTCAGATGCTCGTCCACCAGCCGCCTGACCTGCTCTATGTTTGCGTCGATCGTCTCCCGCCCCAATCTGTCCACATCCAGACTGAGCGGCTCATACTCTATCTCGGACATAAATAGTTTATTTTATTTATTTTATTTTATTTATTTCCCCATTTTACCCTCTCTTCTGACTGATCGTATCGCTTAAAGGGCAAATATACCCGTCTTTCTGCCCAGCAATGAATATCTCCATCATCCAGAACAACAACCCGCTCTCGATGATGTCGTCTGTTTACCGGCAGAACCAGTCGCAGGACACAAATCTGCCCTCTGCGCTGACGATATACAATTCGCTCACGGGGGCCAAAGTGGTGGCCAGTGCGTACCAGTTCCACAACCTGGAGGCTTTGAAACAATTCATTGGTATGTCCTTCAATGTGGCCACAGAAAACCTGTTTTTGCTCACGCCGTTCGGCATCAAGCTCAAGTTCTCCATGATTGTGCACGAAGAAATAAGTGAGATCTACGTGTTTGATAGGCGCTACTTCAACGTCAATAACATTGAGGCCTCGGGCAATATGGACAACGTCAACGATCTGCTTGCGGAACTGAACCAAACAGACTTCATCAACATGATTAAACCGCTAGCTTCGCCCTTGCTGTCCGAGGAGCTGTCGGTGTTTGTGGAGAAGCTGACGCTGGTTCTGGAGAACACGACACAGATCAAGGCGGTGGATATCAACCTGAACATGCTGCGGATGCTGCTCAACTCGCTCAAACGCAACTCTGGCTGGGCGTCCGCCCTGCTGTCGGATTTCAAAAAAACAGTGGCCTTCGACGAGTGCACGCCCGAGGACAACGACCTCGAGACCATTCTGACGTCGCTGAACGTGCTTATACAGTACGTGGGACTGGTATTCAAAACGCTTGAAAAGAAGTTCAACGATTCCATCGACGCCCTGGTGCTGCTGCAGTCCAACAGTCTTGTAGACCAATGGCGGGACCAGTACGCATTGCTCAAACGCATACCTTTTGAGTTCAAGAGTGGGTCTTCCAATGTCCCGGAAAAACTGTTTTTGAGCCAGTTGGTGAACGAGTCGCATCTCGACAAGTGTGCAGAGGAGTCGCGCAGACTCAACAAAAGCATGAACGAGAGACTGGTCATGCTTCGCAGCAAAATCGAAGCAGACGTCATCAAGCCCCGCCAGGAGCTTTTACAGGAATATAATGGCTATATGTCGCAGTACATAAGGCCAGAAACGGATGCCACCCAGAAAACACAGAAAATACAGGATTGCAAACGCATTCTTGCAGAACTGGAAGTGCATGTCAGCAAGCTAATCCAGTCTTCTTCTTCCCTGCCTTCTTTTGAGGAATTAATCACCACAGCAAGTCAGACGTCCACGACATTATCTGCTTCTTCTATTGCAAACATCAAAAAGCTTACGCAGCTCTATAAATACCAGGAGTCCGAGCTTGTGCCCTATATATTTCAGCTTGCCAACAACTTGTACGACATACAGATCAACAAGCTGAATGCCCGAAAAGAGCTACAAACAAAGCTTATTTGCTCTACCTTGATCAACATCACCAAGATCCAGCTCAATATTATGAGACTGTCTACCGTCCTAAATACAGAGGTGGCTAAAAACATCGCATCCATCAAGGAGAACGAGCTGCAGCTGTCTGTTGTTTCTGACCTGCCGCTTATGTTTGGCATTTTTGTCATAGCCAACCTCAACAATCTGAAATTCGGTATATCTCTGAACAACATTGTCAAGAAGGCTAACGAGATCTTTGAGATGCTGCGGTTCATGGAATCACGCAACCGTGCAAAATGGCTCAAAGAATTTTTGGCTAGCAGTGGAGCTGATAAGGTTGAGTTTCTGCACTTGGACGAGGAGGCCCGCGAGCGTTTTATCAACGAAAACATGCTCTCGTATAAACTTGAGCAGGTGGATGCTATTCGTTCGAAAAAATCTCCTTCACCAGTCGACCACCCTGCAAGTCCTGTAAGCGGCCAAGAAAAACATTATCTGACCTCGATTAACAGGCTGCTGCATAACATCAATGGTTTCCCGGCACCGCGTCCAACGGCGACAGAATTGCCGAAACAGAGGGAAACCAACATTATGACGAACCTGGCCAGAAATATCTCAGTCAAAAGCATTGTGTCGTATATCAACACTCTCAGGAAAGAAGGCATTGATCTCAATATTGTGAACAGGTTGGAAGAGTGTCTCAAGGATTTTGGTATCACGTATGGTGCGATCGAGAGAAAAGCCATTGAAACCGAAGACGGCGAGGAGATCGTTGTGAAAGGAAAGAACGCCGGAGACTTGGGCACGTTTGACGTTAACGATGTGAACTACATGCGTTTATTCAAGAAATTCATCAAGAGTTTTGAGTCTGAAGGAATTGTGATCAACATAAATGTGAACCAGCAGGATTCTGTGTCCAACGATGAGCTGATTAAGGGCTACGAACGCAGAATCAGAAAGCTCGAGAATGTTTTGCATACCCGGAATTTCCAGCAGTTTAACGAGCAATGGTCTCGTCACAGGCCAGTGCATACGCTCCCAAATCCTGTGAGCAGGCGCCAATCGGATATGAGCCAAGAGCCTGCTGTGCATGAGAATACTATATTGTTCAACGAGAACGTTGTTTTGGGACGCAAGACAATCGATCTGCCTCCGAGCCATTACGGAGAGCGGATCGAGCGTCTTGAGAAAGAGAACGAGAGGTACAGAGGCGAGATTGAGGAGCTTAAGAAAGGAACTGATCTTGCAGAGCTCGATCGATTAAAAAAAGAGATTGAGGATCTGCAGAAGGCCGATATGGAGAAAGACAAGCGGTTGGCAGCCTTGGAAGAGGAGAACAAGAATTTGAAAGAGTCGAACGAAGAGCTCACGAATTCGAACAAGGAACTGGTCAACATGTGCGAGGAGCTGAAGAGCATGAAGTCCGACCTTTTGGAAAACATGACGCAGAAAGAAAGCGAGTTTGGTAAGGAGGCCAAAGTAAACCAGCAGGAAATTAATGAGCTGAAATTGAGGATCGAAGAGCTGGAAGAAGATGAGTCTAACCTTGTCAATGTTAACAAGACGCTAAATGAAAGACTGGCAATCAAAGACGGACTTCTTTGCCAGTTGTATGAGCTTGTGCAAGGAGCATACGGCAAGCTGAACCAAATGAGCGGCGAGATTTTCAGCAACCTGACAAGGGTATGTCTTTTGCTGGAGTCTATAGGACTGTTGTTAATCCGCGAGACGCCCTCGTTCGACAACCATCCTGGAACGCTGACCATCAAGCGTGTGAAGGGCCTACGCAGTCGCAAAAGACAAATCAAGCAGGCTAGCGACTCGACGCACAACGGTAATTTGCAAAACGACACGTTCGAGGACTCTGAGCATATCGATAACGCGCTGATGGAGGTTGTGTCGAGCGAGGTTGTGCCGGAAGCAGAGCAGTATCTCCATTGGGTTGACACGAACGTGCTGAACTACACGATTTCGTCGGATCTGGGCATCGAGGACGAGATTGAGCACAAGAAAAACGAGAGCTCGCTAATTGACATGAGTCTGTGCGAGGAGAGCTCGATCGAGAAGAAGGTGAAGAAGCTGCTGGCCAATTACGAGAGCTTCAACGTGGAGCAAGGGTTCCAGAACTTTTTGCGGTTCAACCATGTTGACAACGAGCTTGTGATTGAACGGGTGTTCCGGCGGTTCAGCGACGTGGAAACGCTGGCGAGAAAGTTGCAAAAAGACAAGACACAGCAGAAACAGGAGCTCAAGATGCTCACTGCCGAGCTGGACGGCAAGATTGCGTTCCGGAACTTCAAAGTTGGCGATTTGGTTCTATTTCTCAAGACGCTTACTCCGGCCAACGAGGAGCTCGGCGGCGGCGACGAGCAGCCTTGGGCCGCGTTCAACGTGGGGTGTCCGAACTATTACCTCAAGAACACCAAGGGCGAGGGCTACATTGAACTGAGCGACCGGGATTGGCTGGTGGGGCGGGTGTCGAAAATTGAGCCACGCCAGGTCACCGAGCAGAACTTCCACAGCAAGACGGAAAACCCGTTCCGGCTGGCCAAGTCGGTGGTGTGGTATTATGTTGAGGCACGTGAGGTGAAGGAATGACGAGCTTACGAATTACGAATTTGGGGGGGGGCATGGCTAGTTGCGGCGAGCAACGGATATGTACGGTTATTAACGGGAAAAGGTTTTCAACGGTAACACCGGCAGCTGCGAAGCTATATAAGCTGCCCTCCGCCGGGCTGTAGTGTGCGCAAATGGCTCCTGTTTTGCAAAGCGACGCCCGCAGCGGGCAATACCACCAGGTGGTGAACTCAATTAATTCCGACTACATCACCATCTCAGAATATATTTTACTGCGCATCTACCAGCTGGGGATCAGATCGATTTTTGGTGTTCCGGGCGACTTCAACCTCAACTTTCTGGAGCATCTGTACGATATCAATGGGCTGGAGTGGATCGGCTGTTGCAACGAGCTTAACGCGGCGTATGCCTGTGACGGCTACGCAAAGACGTGCGAGAAGATGGCTGTGCTGGTGTCGACGTTTGGCGTTGGCGAACTTTCTGCGCTTGCTGGCGTGGCTGGAATGTACTCCGAATACTCTCCGCTGCTGCATTTGGTAGGCACGTCTGCCACGCTGCTGAAAAACACCGACAAAAAATTCCACCATTTGCTGAGTGGTAGCAGGACGTATGAGGCTCCAGACCACTATTTGTACGAGAAAGTGGCCGCCAATTTCAGCTGTGCCCAGGGTTCTATCGATTTGGACGCTGACAAGGCTTGTGCCACTGTCGACAGAGTTCTCAGAGAGATCCACCAGTGTCTGCGGCCAGGGTATCTGTTTTTGCCGTGCGATCTGACGGAAATGAAAGTTCCCACCTCGCGGCTGTACGAGCCGCTGATTGTGGACTATGTTCCGCAAATCAGCAACCGCTCAACTGCAGTGGTGGAAGCCATTCTGCAAAAGATCTACAGCAGCCAGAACCCGGCCCTTTTAGTGGACTATTTTATTTCGCGGTGCAAGATGACCAACACGCTGGCAAAACTGCTTTCCAAGCTGGGCGGCCGGGTCAACGTCTACGACACGCTCATGGGCAAGGGCCTTGTAGACGAAAGCCACACCTGGTTTGTGGGCACGTACCAAGGTGCGTTGGGCAACGGCGACGTGGCGCGCGCGATCGAGGAGAGCGATCTGGTGCTACGAATTGGAGCGTTTGACGTCGAGATGAACAACGGCGCATTTTCGGCAAAATTGCAGGACACCAATGTTGTTTCGCTCTCCATTGACAGCGTCTCCATTTGCGGAGAGCTGGTCACAGACGTCAGCATGAGAGACGTGTTTGAGATGCTTGTGGAACAGCTGGACGTGGAGCGCGTGGCCCGGAGCAGGAAATACGAGATTTCGCCGCCTTTGAGACCAACAGGCAACGAGCCGCTCACCATGAACGACCTCAGAACGCATCTTGAGCAGTCTCTCACGCCAGACGACGTGCTAATCGTCGACACCGGCTCGTTTATGTGGGCCACAGGAACCATCAAGCTGCACAGGGCCAAGTTCATCAACCAGTTCCTGTGGGCGGCTATCGGATACGCCATTCCGGCCACTTTAGGTGCATGTATCGCCAAGCGCGACTCGGGCTCTCCAGGCCGCGTTATCACTGTCGAGGGAGACGGAGCAGCAGAGATGACTCTGCAAGAAATCGCCTCGCTGGTGCGCTACAATGTTGACCCTGTGCTTTATCTGCTTAACAACGACGGATACACGATTGAACGTGTGATCCAGGGCCCAAACCGGTCGTACAATGACATTGCTACCAAATGGCAGTGGACGGAGATGGTGCGGTGTTTTGGAGGCGGAAAAGTCGGGCAACAAATTGCCAACCGGTCACAGCTGTCACAGCTGTCTTTTGGCGCAGGCCTGCAGCTTTTCGAGCTGCTGCTGCCGAAGTTCGACGTGCCGGAGGAACTGACAGACATGCTAGCTAGAGGAAAATGCTAACATTGTGGCTTATGTAATCCAGAAAAATAATTGGAGTTAGATAGATTAATAATAGCCTCCATGAGCAGGCTGGACCGTCTTTGACCGCCCATGAATACTGAACACGGCTGCGACCTCGAAAAGAAGTTGTCGTCTACACACTATTTGGCGCCCCCACAGCAGTCTCCGCGGCCAACGCCCGGCCCACCGCCCGAGGGAGGGCTGCGCGCATGGCTGGCTCTGTGCTCTGGAGCTACAGTCATGGCGCTCTCGTTCGGCATGGTCAACTCTTTTGGCGTGTACCAGAGCTACTATGAGAACAAGTACCCCCACATCAGCTCAAATACGCTTTCGATCATTGGGTCTCTGCAGGGCTGTCTCACGTTTGCAACAGCACTGCCGTCGACTGTGGGGATGTACTATTTAGGGCCGCAGGTTATGGTGGGGGCTGGCGGGCTCGTTTGCATACTGTCGTACATGTTTCTGTCGATCACGACGGCTCCGTGGCAGATTTTCGTGGTGCAAGGCCTGATGTTCGGGGTGGGGTCTGGACTCATGTACGTGCACTGTGCTGGAGTGGTGTTCCAGTACTTCCACCGGCGCAAAGCTATTGCGTCCGGGCTGATCACCGCAGGGGCCAGTATGGCGGGCGTGTACTGGCCGATCGGTGTGCGCGGCCTCATCAACAAAGTGGGGTTTGCGTGGGGGAACAGAGTAATCGGGTTTCTGTACATCCCGATGGTGGCCTTTGCAACCATAAATCTGCGGCCTAGAGTGCGTCCGCCGCCGCGCAAGCCGGGCCAGAATGTGCTGCGTATCAACTTCCGAGTGGTGCTGAACTGGCGTTTCCAGGTCCTCAACATCTCGTTCGCGGTGGCCATTTTGGGGCTCTTCCCCGGCCTGTTCTACGTGGACCTGTTTTGCCAGCGGCTGGGCGTGGCACAGCCGATCCAGGACTACAACGTTGCCATTGTCAATGCGGCGACGCTCCTGGCGCGCGTCTCGTGCGGGTACATCGGCGACAAGCTCGGCAGATTCAACATAATGATCCCCACGCTCGTGATCAGCGGCGTGCTACCACTGGCGCTGTGGATGCCGGCACGCTCGTCGGCGGCGACGCTGGCGTTCTGCATTACGTGGGGGTTTTCTACGGGCCCGTTTGTGAGCTTGGCTCCGGCCATTGTGGGCCAACTGTTTGCAGACGAGCTGCCGTCGTATCTCGGTGTCTTTTTCCCGACAGCAGCGGTGGGCGTACTTGTGGGGCCCATAATTGCGGGAACATTCATCCCGCCGGGACACGTAGACAACGTGAAAGGCTTTGACAAGCTGTGCGTCTTTGTGGGCGCGCTCTTTCTCGCGACAGCCGCATCGCTGTCGGTGCTGCGTTTCGTCTACCAGCGCAGGCTGCTCGCGAAAATGTAAAAAAAAAATTACGTAAGATAAATTCGCTGGACATGGAAAAAAAAATATTCAAACCTTGTTTCTTCTATTCGCCATGCAAGCCCCTGTTGTGTTTATGAACACGGCTGCGCAGAGACAGACCGGTCGCGAGGCCCAGATCCAGAATATCACCGCGGCAAAGGCCGTTGCGGATATCATCCGGACGTGTTTGGGCCCGAAGGCCATGCTTAAGATGCTGCTGGATCCGATGGGAGGCATTGTGCTGACCAACGACGGGCACGCGATTTTGCGGGAGATCGACGTGGCGCACCCGGCAGCCAAGTCCATGATTGAGCTGAGCCGCACGCAGGACGAAGAGGTCGGCGACGGCACCACGTCGGTGATCATTCTTGCGGGCGAGATTCTTGCACAGACGTTCCCATACATAGAGAAAAACATCCATCCTGTGGTGATCATCCAGGCGTTGAAGCAGGCATTGAAGGACGCGCTGGAGATCATCCACGAGACAAGCATTCCTGTGGACCTGGAAAACGAGGCTGCGATGGTGAAGTTGATCAGCGCAGCCATTGGCACCAAGTACGTGGCCAAATGGTCGCAGCTGATGTGTCAGTTGGCGCTGAAGGCGGTGAAGACGGTACTTGTTCAGGAGGGCGAGCACAAGGAGATCGATATCAAGCGGTATGTGCGTGTGGAGAAGATTCCTGGAGGCGAGATCGAGGACTCTGTTGTGTTGGACGGCGTGCTGCTGAACAAGGACGTGGTCCATCCAAAAATGAAGCGTGTGATTGAGAAGCCGCGCGTGGTGCTGCTGGACTGTCCGCTGGAGTACAAGAAGGGCGAGAGTCAGACAAACGTCGAGATCACCAAGGAGGAGGACTGGGCCAGACTGTTGCAGATCGAGGAGGAGCAGGTGAAGCTGATGTGTGAGCAGATTCTGGCTGTGAATCCGGATCTGGTGATCACCGAAAAGGGCGTCTCGGACCTGGCACAGCACTATCTGCTGAAAGGCGGCTGTTCCGTGCTGAGAAGAGTGAAAAAGAGTGACAACAACAGAATAGCAAGATGCACGGGAGCCACGATCGTGAACCGCGTGGAGGACCTGAAGGAGTCCGACGTTGGCTTGAAATGCGGTCTGTTCGAGGTGAAGCTGATTGGAGACGAGTATTTCTCGTTCTTGGTCAAATGTCAGGAACCAAGGGCCTGCACGGTGATGCTGCGTGGCCCGTCCAAAGACATTTTGAACGAGATCGAGAGAAATCTGCAGGACGCAATGGCGGTGACGAGAAACGTGTTTTTCGAGCCGTCCCTTGCCCCGGGCGGAGGTGCCACCGAGATGGCCGTCAGCGTCGGGCTTGCCGAGCGCGTCAAGAAAATCGAGGGTGTGCAGCAATGGCCGTACCAGGCGGTTGCAGACGCGTTTGAGGTGATTCCAAGAACGTTGATCCAGAACTGCGGAGGCAACCCGATCAGAGTGCTCTCCCAGCTGAGAGCCAAGCACGCCAACGGCGAACACACGTGGGGAATCGACGGCGAAAGTGGCAAGATTGTCGACATGAACGAGTACGGCATCTGGGAGCCCGAGGTCATCAAGCAGCAGAGTGCTAAGACCTCCATCGAGAGCGCCAGCATGCTGCTCCGCGTCGACGACATTGTGTCTGGGGTCAGAAAGGAGACCTGACGGTGCACGGGTGTGTGTGTATAATTTATATCTCGAAAAATAAGACAAAACAACTAAATCCGATCGCTCTGTGTGCCAGTACAAGATGTCGATATTTTCCGATGATGTCTTGCTGACGCGCTCCCGAAGCAACAGCGAGTCGCAGTTCAAGTCTACGCGCGCGGAAAAGCGTCTGGGCCGGCTGTTCAAGCCTCCGTCCACCACGAGCTCGACTCCCAAACAGGGCCCCTCGAACACCAACAGCTCCACAGCCAGCGTAGGGTCGTCGGTGCCGTCTGCGAGCGGCAAGGGCGAGCCCAAGCAGCTGGCACTGGAGGATCTGAAATACCATGTTGGGCGAAATCTGCGCAGCATGAGCCAGAGTGCCATTCCTACCACCTCGTCGGTGACGGGGCAAAATGGCGGGCTGTCGGCGTCGGCTCTACCCAGAAAGCCGTCTCTGGCATCGCAAACAGCCGGCACGGACGGCAAGCTGACCACGTTGCGCGAGGTTCACGGCTCGGCGGCCTCAGAACGGCTGGTCTTTTCTGACACCATGAAAATAGCACACAAAGTGCGATTTGTCTACTCCGAGTTTACGAGCGTGCTAAAAAACCTGGGGATCTCTATCAACACGTCAACAAACTCGTTCAACAACTTTGTGAGTCTGTACGACTTTGTCAACCGACGTGCCAACGATACAGACAGGGAAGCCATCCAGGAGAGTCTTCGCTCGCAGCTGGCGACGCAGCTGGTTGAACTGTTGAAGGATCTGCGCAAGATAGTGGACCATCTCACGTTTCCGAGCCACATGGTGGCGTCGCTGAGCACGGAAACGATCAGAATGGCGTACTTTTCGCTGTTTTCGCTGCTGGTGGAGCTGACAGGTATCTGCAAAATTCTCGATCCGTCGTTCACACCTCGGACACAGCAGAAAACCTCGCGTCCCGCCCAACTTGCGGCTGCTCCGCTGGCGCCCCAGAAGCTGCGCACACAGCCACCCAAGATTAATAGGGCGCCGCCTCCGAATCCGCAGCACGCTCAAACAATTCCTGTACCTCAGCGTCAGCCATCCGTGCATCGCCAGCCGCTCAAGATCGACACGAATCTGCCGGCGGTGCCGCGGCAGGACTCGGAGCTGAGTGCTATCAGCAACATCGAGTCAACGACAGACAACGAGAAGCTATACGAAATCATCAGCTTCACGACACAGGCGGCCCACGCTGTGTTCACCCAGCTCAACGATGCGCTGGCCAAGAGCGCCATCAGCACCGCACAAAACACACAGAACTCGCAAGTCTCGCAGGACGGCGGCCCAGACACCCAGGATCTACCCAACATCGCGCAAAAGGTCAAGGAGCTCACGACATACTGCATGAGCTCGATGGAGCAGACCAAACGGATCAAGACGGTGCTCAATCAGACGCGCAGCGCGCAGCGGCTCGACGAGGACCAGCAAAAGAGACTCTACGAGGAAACAAACCTGTTTCTCAAGTCGATCATCAGCTTTTTGGCAGCCACAAAGGGTGCGTTGCAGGACATGCCAGCGCTGAACGAGGTGCGTGGGGCACTCTCGAACCTTACGCGAGCCACCAAAGAGCTGACGATCCGTCTCGAAACAAGCGTGCTCAAGCAGTCGGTCACCAACGCCACGGACCAGCCGCCTCTCTCATCGATCCCGTCGGTCGCCAACTTCCAAAACGGCCATTTTGGCCAGGAAGCCACCGCCCGCACAGTTCCGTCACCGCTCCAGTCGGAAAAGGAGGACTCGATGCAGCAGCACGTGAAGAGTCTCCAGACGAGTGGCCTCGAGCATGTGGCGCAGCTGCCGGTCACGACGCCGCTCGTGGCGTCCATTGGGCCCACTGCCGCTTCTGTCGTGCTGCCGGTAGCCTCGCCGATGGGTGTGAACGTCAACCCGCCCGAGTACAACCCGTTTGATAAGTTGAGCGACGCCGACGCGAAGCGTGTTACGTAAGGCGGACGGAAGAGATTACGAAATTCAGGCTGGAAATTATTTTCGTGAATAAGCGAACATGAGTGTGGAGATCAAGGGCAGCACTGGCTACGGTCTTATGTCGCTGACATGGCGGCCGCAGCCTGTTTCATATGAACAGGCATTTGCCACGATCAATAACGCCCTTTCGGACGGCATTGAGTTCTTCAACGCGGGCGAGTTCTACGGCAATCTGCCTAACGATAAGCACGCCAATCTGGAGCTTTTGCGGGCCTATTTTGCCAAATACCCTGAGTCGCGTTCCAAGATGGTTGTCTCCGTGAAGGGGTGCGTTGACCTTCCGAATCCGCCGGACAACTCGCCTGAGAACATTGCCAAGTCCATCCGCAATATTGCCTCGTATTTTCCGGACGGGATGTTTGATATTTTTGAGCCGGCAAGACAGGACGGCAAGCATCCTATCGAAGAGGTGGTGAGAAGCATTGTTCCTTTTATTGAACAGGGCGTTGTCCGCGGAATTTCCCTAAGCGAGGTGTCTGCCACCACTGTTCGTCGCGCTGCCAAATTGTTCCCAATTTCGTGCGTGGAGGTAGAGTTTTCACTCTGGTCGCGCGACATTCTGAGCAACGGTGTGATGGACGCGTGCAGGGACTTGGGAATACCTGTGATTGCGTACTCGCCGCTCGGCAGGGGCTATCTGACCGGCCAGATAAAATCGGTGGACGACATTCCCGAAGGCGATTTTCGGCGGACGTTGGACCGGTTCTCGTCGCAGGAGGTTCTGGAGAACAACATGAGCGTGGTCAAATTGGTGGAGGAGCTTGCAAGGCAGAAAAAGTGCACTTTGGCGCAGATCGCGCTGGCGTGGATCCGCAAGCACAACGAGTTCCCTGAAAAATACGCCAGGGTGATCCCGATCCCGTCCTCGTCAACGCCAGCGAGAAACCACGAGAACAACACGGAGATCCCACTCACAGATGCCGAATTTGCGGCCCTGAACGAGCAACTCGACAAGATCGAAATCAGGGGCGGTAGATACAATGCGCATGCGGCGGACTATCTCGAAAAATAAATGAATACCATTTATTTATCTGCGTACTTACTAAAACAGTCTCTCGTACGGGGATTTAAACCGGCTTAGCAACCGGCTGTGCCAACTGGTTCGCTTGCTGTCGATGACGTCCATTTTTTCGACGTCCATCGACGAAAGAACCTGGTCGTCGGCCCATTCAACACGCTCCTCTGCAACACGTATGTTGTCCAACACGGGCATCTTCCAGCTCTTGAGACGGAGCGAGTTGAAAACAACGCTCACAGAAGAACACGCCATCGCTGCCGATGCAATCATCGGGTTCATTGTGAGGCCGCAAGGAATTATTAAAAGGCCCATCGCAATTGGGAGCATAATCAGATTGTACACCACGGCCAGAACAAAGTTCACCTTAATGCTGCGGAACGTGCGCTGCGAGATGTCCAGGGCGGCAAGAATTCCTGCGGTGCCGTCCTTGCGACCGTACTCCTGCAACGCGATGCCGTCGTCGTCGTCGTCCGGCTGCACAGAGGAGAGCAGCACCACGTCTGCAGCCTCAATGGCTATATCGGTGCCCGTGGCAATAGTCATGCCCAAGTCTGCCTGGATGAGCGCCGGCGCATCGTTGATGCCGTCGCCGACAAATGCAACCTTGAGGCCGTGTTTTTGCATCTGGTCCACCACGCGCAGCTTGTCGTCAGGCTGGGCCTGCGCAAAAACGTTCATCAGCGGGATACCCACGGCCTGGGCAACGGCACGTGCAGTCTGCACGTTGTCCCCCGTCACCATGGCAACGGCAAAGCCTCGGTCGATCAGCGCAGAAACGGTGCCGGAAGCGTCGGACTTGACCGTGTCGGCCAGCTCGACGTAGCCAATGTACTTGTCGTTGACAAGAATGTGCGAGAACGTGGAGATGTGCGGGTTGTTGAGGCGCGTGCAGCAGTCGAGAAAGTCGGCCAGGTTGTCGATTTTTCTCTCCTTCATCAGCTGGTCGTTTCCTATAGCAACATTATAGTCCTGACCGTCCAGCCTAGTCTGGGCCTCCAATCCAAGACCCACAATGTTGTGCACCTTGGTGACCTCGACTGCAAGTAGCGAGGTGCGAGCAGAGGCTCCCAAAACCAGTGCTTTTCCAACAGGGTGCTCACTATCGTGCTCTATGGCATGAACTATGCTCCAGACCAGTTTCTCGTCCATGTCACCGATAAAGTGGTAGTTCGACACGCGCATCTTGCCTGTCGTGATGGTGCCTGTCTTGTCGAATACGACACAGTTGATGCCGCTCGCTTTTTCCAGTATGTCAGCACCCTTGATCAAAATTCCGTTCGTGGCCCCAACGCCGGTACCAACCATCACCGCCGTCGGCGCGGCCAGTCCGAGCGCACACGGACAGGCCACAACGACGACAGATATTGCGATTTGCAAGATTCTGGAGAAAACAACGTTCCCGGTGTCGCTGTCGACGAAATACGCCGGCACTTTGTCGGCAGGCAGGCAGAATATGTAGACGCACCAGAAAATAAAGGTGAGCAGCGATAGTACCAAGATTGTAATGACAAACTTGCCGGCAATCACGTCGGCAAATTTCTGGACCGGCGCCTTGGTGATCTGGGCGTCTCTCACAAGCTTGACGATCTGCGACAGGTGCGTCTTCTCGCCAATCACTTCGACACGCATGTACAAGGGCGACGCGACGTTGATGGATCCGCCGTACAGCTTGGAGCCAATTCTTTTCACCACGGGAAGGCTTTCTCCCGTCAAAAGCGCCTCGTCGACCTCTGAGGACCCGTAGATACACTCGCCGTCGGCAGGCACTTTTCCACCGGGATGGAGCACCACCACGTCGTTTTTCTGGAGCAGGTCGGTGCTTATCTCTTTCTGGGGTGAGTTGAGGTCGTCAGGGTTTTCGAGAATCGTGCACATGGATGGTGTCAGGGACAAAAGCTTCGAAAGAGCAGTAGACGTGTTGCCCTTGGCCTTGGATTCTATCCATTTGCCGAGAGAGACAAATATGAAGAGCATGGCAGAAGTGTCGAACATGACGGAAGCGGGCTTTTGAGAATCATGGAAAATGGCGTTCAGAATGGAGCATGTCGAGTAGACGTAGACAGTGGTGGTGGAAACACATATTAGGAGGTCCATGGTACCGTTGCGATGCCGGATGGCCTTGTACGAGTTGATGTAGAACCGTCGAGCAAGCCAGAATTGTATGTATGAGCCAAGACAAAACTCGAGCAGCGTCTCGAGAAAGAGGCCGTGATACAGCACTATGGGTGTCCAATGGACGTGCAGTATCATGGCCATCAGCGGCCATATGTGGTGGCGGAAGAAGATCGGGAACCCAAAGGCCACCATTTTCAGAAACGTCTGTCGCCAGTAGGCCACGTCGCGGACCTTCAGCAGCAGATCGAGCTGCGATGCGGAATCCAAGTTCGAGTTCAGGATAGCGTCAAATCCGCAGTCCTCTATCACCTCCATGATCTTTCTTATGCCTGTGCGATTCGTGTCGTAAACAATCCGAGCTTCTTCGGTGGCCAGCGCCACTTGACAGCTGACGACGCCGTCCAGTTTCATCACCGCGTTCTCGATCGAGTTCGAGCAGTTCGAACAAGTCATTCCGTAGATTTTCAGCGCCAGCGACTCGTTGTCGTTGATCGCCTGCTCGTTCTTTGTCTCCAACAGATTGGCCTCAAACCCGCAGTCTTCCACGGCCTCGCACAGCCTGCTAGCCTCGCACGTATGTGTCACAGTCGCCTGCTCGGTCAGAAGCGAAACCTGCACAGCCTGGACTCCGTCCACCTTTTTCAGTGCGTCCGTCACGGCGTTGACACAAGAACTGCACGTCATGCCTCCAATGGTGATATATGACGTGCGCATTTCTGTGGCCGCGTCCTCCGACGCAATCACTCTCGCTCCAAAGCCTATATCCTCGACGGCGTGCTGGAGAGCCGATGCCGGGACGGCGTGCGAGTGCTCGACCAGAGCCTCCTCCGTAATCAGTGCCACCTGGACGGCCTCGACGCCGTCTATCTGCCGCAGGCAATCCTCAACCGCAGCCGTGCAGGCCGAGCACGTCATTCCATCGATGTGCAAAGAGGTGCGCAGACTCATGGCAAAAAATTTGTTATTTCCGAACAAGGAGAATAAATTAATAATTTACAAATTATCTATTAAATCTTGTAAATTATTTCCGAGACACTGTGGTGTGCAATTTGTACTCGCGCACGGCCAGAAGCGCGCACAGACACAGCACACACGTGACAAATGAGTACAAGAAGGTGGACCAGCACCCGACGTTGTAAGCTTTGATGAGAGTAGGCACGGCCCAGTCGGGGGCCGTGCGGATATATGCTGCGTTGTGGAGGGCCTTGGTGATAATCTGGGCAACCTGGCCTTTGGAGACACCGTCGGGAGCGTGGCTCGCTAGCGTAGACCGCATGTAGCTGCCGAGATGCCACTGGAACAGCAGAGAAGCAACGGAGGTGCCGAGCGTGGAGCCCGTGGAGCGGAATGCGTACTGGATGGACGTGACGGCGGACTGGTGGTCCTGAGGCACGGACGCGATCAGGGACAGCAGCGTGGTGGTCAGCATGGAGGCGTACGCGCAGTAGGGGACGGCTGGCAGCGCCATGATGACGTAGATGGAGAGCGGGCGGTCGGCATGGGCCGGCTGGGTACACAGCACCAGGGCCGTGAGGCTCAGCACGCCGGCCGTGGCGCTCACAAGGGAGAAGTTGCGGTACTTGCCCGTCACCTTCATGTAGTAGCCGGACCCGATCGACGAGAACGACGAAAGGACGATCGACGGGACGAGCCGGTTGCCGACCTGGCCGGTGTCAAACCCGTACACCGTCGACAAGAACACCGGGTAGTAGTAGAGCACGCAGCTGATGTACATGGTGCCGAACCAGTTGGCCAGCGAGGAGCCAAGGATGGAGCGGTTTTTGAGCAGCTCGAGGGGCACAATCGGGTCGACCGCAGAGTTTTCTATCCTCACGAAGCTAGCGAGCGACGCGGCAAATGCGACGCAGAGCAGGACCGGCCACTTGGACGACTCGAACTCGAACGAGGTCAGCAGAATGAACACAAACAAAGTGAGAGCAAGACTGAGGATGCCCAGCACGTCCACACGTCTGAGTTTCTCCCGCCACGTGAGCTGCGCCCTGACAATTGGCGGCAGGTTCAAATTGAAAAGACACAGCAGGAAGCAGCCGATGCCGATCGGACACTGGATCCAGAACACCATCCGCCAGCCGTATCGTTTCGCAACCAGGCCGCCAAACGTCCCGCACGCAGATCCCGTGCCGTAGCACAGGTTGGCGAGGCCCTGGTACACGCCGCGCTTGCGCAACGGGACAAGGTCGCTCATGGTGATGCTTCCCAGGGTATTCAGGCCAGAGGCAAAACCCGACAGAAAACGGCCGACCGCAAAGCCCACGGCCGTCGTGGCCGCGGCGCACTGGAAACACCCGATCGTAAACACACAGATACAGCCCAGTATCATGGGTTTGCGGCCAAATATGTCGGATAGTTTGCCCAAGGGCTGGATAATGGAAGACGCCAGCAAATAGGAGGTCGCGATCCACGAAAGATACGGAATGGCGTCCAGATCGGATGCAATTTCCGTCATGATGGTCGACAGAATGGTGGTGTCCATCGACGCCAGGAAGGTGAGCGAGAAAATGCACGGTAAAATCACATACAGCTGGCTCTTGGGAACAAGATACTCGTCGGAAACCTCTTGTTCAGACGCCACAGAGCCGTAGCCGGGGTCGAGCTCCTCGGTGAGCTCCTCGGCGATGTAGCCGGGCAGCGAGGTCGAGGCGTCGGGTAGGAGCGGCGATTGGGGAGTCGTCATGGAGCGCAGTAGGACGGTTTGAGAGCCAGTTTTTTCGGGCCGCACAAGCGCTGTGTCGCTGACGTAAGCGGCCCGGCAATATATTATTTATTGTACACGCTACTCCCCGTTGGCTGGCACCGACTGGTCAGTAGGCTCTTGCTTGACCTCGTCGGCAGACGCCTCCGGCTCCGAGCTCGGCTCGTAGTCGTCGCCCCAGTGCGGGTCAGGCTCGACATGCAGGTCGAGCCAGTTTTTCAGGACCGTACCGATCTTCTTGGCCACCCTGAGCCGTGCAAACTCCGGCTTTTTCAGTAACACCACCAGCACCTTTGCGATGTTTGTCGATTTGAGCACAGCGCGCGAAACAGGCCTGTAGCCCGACAGTTTGTTGACGAGCGGCTCGAGTTCCTTGCCTGTCTTGGCGTAATCCACAGGGGTGTCTGTTGGAAATGCGAGTTTCTGGATCTGGACCCTTATGTCGCCGAAAAACTTGGTACTTCTCTTGACCTCGTCGACCAGCTCGGCACTGTTCAGCAACGGAATCTCCAGCCCGGCGTCCTCCACGTCAGACTCCAGCCCCCAGTCGCTGTCAAGGTCCTCTACAACCTCCACCTTTGCTTTCTTTCTAGCCCCGTGCGTCCCGTTGTGTTTCCTCTTGCTGGACCTCCCATATGCCTCCTCGTCAGAGTCGCTGTCCTCCTCCTCTTCTTCTTCCTCCTCTTCCTCTTCCTCTTCCTCTTCCTCTTCCTCCTCCTCGTCAGCCTCCTCCACGTAATCCTCGTCCTCTTCCCCCACTCTTCCATAACTGCCATACAACGCAAAGTCCTGCGGCGAGACGTCCTTGTTGTTGGCACACAAATAGGCGTTGGTCAGACTGGAAACCTTGGAGGCGCGCTTGGCACGGAAGTTGCCGTCCGAATCGGGCAATTCGCCCTTCTTGACAAGGTACTCCGTGACCATATCGTCAGTCAGAGGCTTGAGATCCTTCTCTGTGCACCAGAAATACTCATCGTCGCCATAAAACTTGACGCACACGAGTTGCGGGTCGGAGGCGGCACCCCGGCGCTTTCTACCGGGCGCAGAGCCCGGCTTCATGTTGCGTATTTTCTCCGGAAGCTGCTCATAGTCAATAACACGCGAGGGCCACTCGGGGAACCCTTTTATCTTTGTCAGAACAAGGCTGCCTGGAGGAAACATTGGCACGAAAAATGTGTGGTGTAGGGGTGTGCAAATAGGTAGAGACGATCGACGCACAATTACGTTGGCTATTATTGGCCGGCAGGAAAGTCTTGGCAGGAGGAAAGTTTTGGGGTCGGCGAGAATGAGCCGGTGTAATGTTTATGTCTCGGGAACGATGGGAAGAAAAATTGCCTCAGGACCGGATATGATGCAATTGTTTATGGGTGCCGGAAACTCTGTTTGAAGCCGGAAATGGAAGCGAAAAGGATTGTTTTGGGTAAAAACGGCAGCCCAAAGAGGGAATGGCCGGAAACAGCCATCACTCCGTCGTGCTACATTGGCCAAACACAGCGCTGAGGGCAATCACCACCACCGCCGTATGCAGCATTCACCTCCATCTCTTCACTACATGGTATCTCGCTTTCTTTGCCGGCTTATCTGGGAATTCCGGACCCCCCGGAAAAAGAAAATAATTGCACACCGTTTATTCGTGGTTAGGCAGCAAATTGTCTCAAGTGCATATAATATATATACCGAAACGGAAACTTCTTGAAAGAAAAGTTTGTTTTCCAATTAATCTTATAGCTCTTCTTTCACAAGTGCTTCCTAATTGCAAACCTGATACCTATAATTAATTGAGATGCTACCAGCCGGTGTTATCCTTGTTTTCTGCTTGATCTTCGTCATTGGTAAGTGCTGAAATTGGGCTTCTTTTACTAACTTTCCAGCTTGCGTCGTCTTTGCGCTCTACTTGGTCAAGAAGTTCAAGAAATAAGCCATGAGAGTCCGTTCATGTGCTGAGCATGGTTTGATATGTGTTTAATTGATAGACCTAATAATGATCACTAAGGTGGAATAGTTCGACAAGTAGCCCACGAGGCCCTTTCGAGACAGCCGTCGATACCAACGGCCTGCCCGTTTGCGCAAATGGCCCCGGTTTGGTACTGTAGTTGACCTGCGTAATGGAGCCACTGGATGCCTGCCCCCAAGACCCGCTACCTGTGGCCCCCAAAATCCCGAAACCTCCAGTGCCGTCTGTGGCCGTCGAGCCCGGGGTGGTGTTTGGAAGTTGGATTTTCTGCTGGTGTACGGGTGTCTCTGGTGGTGGTGGCTCAATCGGGTAACAATAGCATCCTTTCGATAAATTTGGAATTTTACACATCTTGTTTTCCGAGTTTGGTGGTTTTTCTTCTTTAATAAACCTATAAACACACTTCTCCTTTAAGTAATTGTGAGAAAGCTCTTCCTCTTAGGGATAATCAATCGATAAGTGAAAAGTAAGTGCACCATAATTACACACTAACAGCAGTGTCTGAAATGGCCAATCTGAAACAGGAGTCGCAGGCGTCCGAGCAGCCGGACCTCAACTTGCAGCCTCAAAACTCAGAGCTCGAGGACGACGAGAACGAGGACTCCAAGCCTTCCAACAAGAGAGAACGCAGAAAGATCGAAATCAGGTTCATCCAGGAGAAGTCCAGGAGACACATCACTTTTTCCAAGCGGAAGGCAGGTATTATGAAGAAGGCATACGAGCTTTCTGTTTTGACCGGCACCCAGGTGTTGTTGCTTGTTGTTTCCGAGACAGGGCTCGTGTACACCTTCACGACGCCTAAGCTGCAACCTTTGGTGACCAAGCCTGAGGGAAAAAACCTCATCCAAGCCTGTCTGAACGCTCCTGAGGAGCCTTCGAACGAGGACGACGACGCGCAGGCCGGTGGCGTCCCCGACACACACGCTCCTCAGGGCCATCCTGCTGCCCAGCACATGCACCCGCAACTGCAGCCCCAGCAGCCCCAGCAGCCGCTGCCACCTCCTCCACAGGGCCAGCCCCAGGCAGACCCCTCCCAAGCCGGGCAACCCCCATACCACATACCCCAGATGGGCAACAATTACCTGAACCCGGACCAGAGCAACTACTACATGGGCTTCAACGGCAACCAGGGTTACAACTGATCACTTTCTAATTAAAGACATTGTCTGTGTAGTTTATATAGCGGTATTGCCTTGCGCAAAATAATCCGAGCTCTCTTTTGTTAGGTATTTTTTCGTTGGTGCACTTTTTTTAAAAAAACTTTTATGAACAATACCATCTCCAACCTTTCTGCCGGACTCAGAAACGTCCGCATCAGCCAGCCCGTCAGCCACTCGAGCATCCAGAATGAATACGAGAGCCAGACAAACCAGACGCTGGACTCGGAGTCGGTTTCTCGGCTGAAGGAGTTTTTCTCGCAAGGAGCCCCTAACGAGGGATATACGCTTGTGAGCCACAGGTCTGCGCCAAACGGATTCAAAATCGCCATCATACTATCCGAGCTCGAGTACAACTACAGCACGATTTTACTGGACTTCAACAAGGGCGAGCAGCGCACGCCGGAGTTTCTCGCCATCAACCCGAACGGCAGAGTGCCTGCCCTGATAGACCACACAAACCAGGACCAGCAGGTGTCTATCTGGGAGAGTGGGGCCATTATTCTATATTTGGTCGAGAAAAAGCTCAAGGAAGAGGGCTCCTGCTCGATCTGGAGCGATAACCTTGTTGAGCAAAGCCACATCCTCAGCTGGCTGTTTTTCCAAACCTCGGGCCACTCGCCCATGATTGGCCAGGCGCTACACTTCAAATACTTCCATTCTAGCAACGTGCCTTCTGCGATCGAGAGATACACCGACGAAGTGCGCCGCGTGTACGGTGTGCTCGAGATGGCCCTTGCCGAGCGTCGCGAGGCTCTGATCATGGAGCTTGATGCAGAAAATGCCGCGTCCTACTCCGCCGGCCTCACGCCGCTGTCCCAGAGCAGGTACTTTGACCACCCAGTGTGGCTCGTCGGCGATCGTGTCACCATTGCAGACCTTTGTTTTGTCACGTGGAACTACGTCGTCGACCGCATAGGAATCGATCTCAAGGCAGAGTTCCCCGAAGTCTACAAGTGGACCAAACAGATGATGAGGCGACCTGCGGTTATCAGGGCATTGAAAGGTAATGAGTAGTAACGACCGAAAATGTATTATCGTAAGAAAAATGAAAAAAATAAATCAAATAAAAAAAAAAAAAAATACTCCCTGTTCACCATGGCCATCGAGAACCCTGCGTTGCAGATGCTCGGCATCAAGAAACTCAAGCTGCCGTCCCGGAACTGGATGATTTTTTGGACCGTCGTGGCTGCCGTTGGAGGAGGAATTGTCTATGACAAGCGTCAGCAGTCTGTGTTGCGAGCTCAGTACATGGAAAAGGCCAAACACTTTGGAGAGCAGCCGTTTCTGCCCAACCAGCTTCCGCGCAAGCTGCGAATCTATGTTGCGCCGCCTCCGAACGATTTTTTGAGCGAGGGCTTGAAGTATCTGCGCCGCTTTTGCAAGCCTATATTGAATTCTGCCGCCATCGACTTTGACATCTACACTGCTGAAAGACAGGGAGATATTCGCCATGCCGTGTCGGAGGAGATCCGCCAGATCAGACGGAGCAGGCTTCAGGCGTCCGCCAGGGAAGAACCAGAGGTCAAGGCTGAGCCAGTGGACCCCGAAGCGACGAAGCCTTTGAAAGAGTTGTTCAGGCCCGCCGATGTACTGGGCATTTTCACATGCACCCAACAGCAGCCCTTGAACTACGAAGACGCCGGCCTATCCCCGGAGGATGCAGGCGGGATTATCACGATTGGCCGAGGAGCGTTCAAAGAGTACATCAATGGAGTCCATGAAGGATTGTTAGGTCCCTTAGAGAAACCTGAAAAAAAGGAAGAGCCTGTGGATTCTCAAGAACAAAAGGACGAAAAAAGACCACAACCAGTTGCACGTCCGTATATCGATCCTGCAGACTACCCGTCTGCTTCGCTTGCGCCAGAACTGGATTTCAATAATCTTAGGGACGAAAACGGCGTTCCATATTTCTTCACGCAGCCAATCCTGGCTCTGCAAAACTACAATGTGGCCGGCTTCACCAAACAGCCAGAAAGAATATACAGGTTCTACAACAAACGCTACCAGCTTATTGAGTACAACGAGCGGCTCTGGGGACTCATCACGAAGAATTCTCGTCCGTTCACTCCTCAAGACATGAAGCTGCTGGAGTGCGAGGAAAACGACTGGCCCCGCAGATTCGTGAAAGAGTCGCAAGAGAAGGGGAGCGAGTGGACGCGTGAGTTTGTTGGTGACCCGCGTGTGCTCCGGCTTCTCAAAGTGTATGAGAAGGTCGAGAATGCGGGTGAGTGATGTATATAGCAAAAACCACGAATCAACGGATCTAGTAGAAAAAAAATCTTTTTCTCTTAAAAAAAGAGTGCTAACTCTGAGGATCGAACTCAGGACCTTCAGAACTTCAGTCTGACGCTCTCCCAACTGAGCTAAGTCAGCAAACTCAACAAATATATAGCCGTTGTCGATAAGTTGCTCGCAACGCCAACCCCTAGTCCCCTCGTGTCTCCTGGACAGCCTGCACATCCAAGCTTTTCATCACATTTCCTAATCTTTACTTTCACTTCCATACTCTTCACCAAGGCAGATCCAGTTTTTCTAAATGTCAACTCGCAGCCACAGTCTCCCATTTTAAATGTCCCAAAATTAAATTTATTTCTCTATCCTCATTTCATAAGGGTCTATCTGGAATATTTTATCCGGGTTCAGAAGAAGATGAGGATCCAGAGCCAGTTTCAGCCGTCTCATCGTGTTGACAGAATCAGGGCCCAGCTCCTGCTCCAAAAACTGTCTCTTACCAATGCCTACGCCGTGTTCTCCTGAAACTGTTCCCTCATTTTCAATTGCCCGCTTCACCATATTGTGCACCACCTTTTCTGCCACCGCTCGTTTTTCGGGCGGGAAGATAACCAGTGCATGGATGTTGCCGTCGCCGACATGTCCAACAACCGTGGTCAGAAGCCCATGTGACTCGATATCGTTCACTGTCTCGGTGATGACAGTCGGCAGCTTCGAAATAGGAACGGCAACGTCTGTGGGCCAGGCCTGAGCGTTGGGGATCATTTTTTGAGCCCAGTTGATCGACGTCCACAGCTGCACTTTGCGGGCTCTCCAGATGTCATCTTTTTCTGCCGGGTCCGAGGCCACCTGCATGTTGAAGCCCCCGTTCTTTTTGCAAATCTGCCTCACGGTTTTGATCTGGTCATTCATGGTGGTTTTCGAGCCTCCGAGCTTGAACAGCAGTAAATTCTTGTCGCTCCATTTGCGGCTCTCGCTGCCCCCCATTTCGGCAAAACAGCGCATCTGACGGTTGTCCATGAGCTCCACCGCGTTCAACGGCAATCCGCGGCGGAAGAGCTCTGTCACCGTCTGCGCTGCTTCCGACAATTTGTTGAAGTTGACGATCGCGACCACCTCGTTTTCTGGCCGCACTGCAAGCTTTAGCGTGGCCTCCACAATAATCCCAAGGGTGCCCTCGCTGCCTACAAAAAGCCCCGTCAGGTTGTAGCCAGCAGAAGATTTTCGAGGCCGGTTCTTGGTCTTGATCACAGTTCCGTCGCTCAACACCACCTTTAGCCCAATCACATTGTCTTTCATAGTCCCATATCTGGTGGCCCGCGTGCCTGAGCAGTTGGTCGCAACCATTCCGCCAATGCAGGCTCCTGGTCCCGGATCCGGTCCAAACATGAGACCGTACTGGTCAAGATACGCATTCAGGTCCTGCCAGTCAACGCCCGGCTGCACAACAACATCAAGATCCTCCTCGTGAAGCTCCAGCACCTTGTTCATGCGGCTGACGTCAATGCAAATGCCCCGTCTGGTCGGGATGAAATGGCCCTCGATAGACGTTCCGCCAGAGTACGGAACCATAGGTATTCGATACTTTGAGCAAATTTTCACCACGGAGACAACTTCTTGCACACTTTCAGGATACACAACAAGGTCTGGACGCTCTCCCTCAATCGGCTTGTGGAAGTTCGACGAATTGTCTGAATGGAATGCCAGCTCCCCGTCTGAAACGGACGTCTGGTCCGGACGCAACAACTGACAAATCTCCTTTATTGCTACTTGGACAGTACTCTCAGATGCATAGCTGGGCGACTGGCTCAGGTCACTGAGCGGCGTGGTCGATTTTGGCGGAAATACGTCCATTGGTGGATAACTTCTGAAGTACCGGTATGTGCCATAAGAACTTGCAATCCCGACAACCCCCACAAAAGCAGTCATCTTGAGTCCCCACCTCAGATTCCCAGAGGCTCTCTGAGAGTAGTGGCGTGTGAATACTCCTCGCGGTTTAGTGCCAAAGTGTCTGATAAACATGGACGAACTGATAAGAAAATACCGGGCTGTGCTCTTTATTTTTGCACAATTTTCCACCAACAACTTCTGTATGGGTATATCCGCTCCAATCAAACAGGTTCTTTCAAAATTCCCGCTGGTGGTGTACCCCTCGGACAACAAGGATGTGGATATGCCGGCAGCGAAGCTTGCGTTTCGAAATAGCCGCGAGTCGCGCAATACCTTCAACCTAGGCGTATACAACGTGGTGCCTCTGTCTTTTGACAACAACGTCGCAGCGTCGCTCGACCCCGTGTGTTTCTACTGCATGCTGCTTCTGGCATACAAGCAGGGCTACAAATTGCCACACTTGGACGATGAAGGTTCCGGAAACTGTATTTCTGTGCTGTCCTACCACAGCGCCGTGGACGGCCAACTTCCGATTCTTGTGGAGGACGAGGACGACAGAAAAGAACGAAAACTGCGCAGAAAGATCCGGTCTGCAGCCACCATTGAGAAATTCAATCTGTCCACGGTATCGAACCCAAAAGAACTCATGTATATACAATTGGTCGATACTAGATTATACGACTACTTCATGGCCAAAGTGCTGCGGATCTCGGCAACTTCCATCTACAGTCAGTCCAACACGCCCTTTAATTCCGCTCTGGGCCATCTCGTGAGACGAAATGGCTTCTCTCTGCGCAATCCAGCCATTTCTGCCCAATACACAGACTCCGTTCATCTACCTCTTAAATACACTACCCAGGCCATACAAAACGAGCATGACCGCTGCGACCGCGAAGGAAAGCAGCTTCTCGAGTGGCTTGAGGGGCTGCTGGAGGACGAGCTATTTTTCGATAAACCCGGCGTGCTGGACTTCAAGCTGGCCGCCTATATCTATGCTCTGATGAATATTGAGGACGTTGAGCTCGAATATCCGAAATTGAAGGCTCACTGTCGCAGAATCATAGCAGGCGTCATATAGATCATTTCCATGGGTTGTCATCGTCCTCGGCCTCCCACGTTTTGTACGCAATAGACGTTGGCACCGTGAGCTCCTTGAATAAATCTGTGCCCGGGTTTTCCAGCTCCGGGCCTCTTCTTTCTTGGTTTTCCTGGTCAGTGTATTTGTCATAAAGGTCCTCAAGGTCGTCAATGACCTGAATCGGCAAGATCGGCTGGTAGAGCCGAATTTTCTTTTGGTCGGAGCCGTATTGGTGCAGCAACTCGAGCTGGCGTGGAAGCACCACCGGAAACACCTGGCCGGGGTTTAAAAACAGCTTGTCGGAGCCAGCATAGTACACCTTTTGACGGCAGGCCGTAGAGTTCTGCTTCAAATGTGTTTTCAGGTTCTTTGGGAACTTCTGCTCTGTGATCTCGTATCTATATTGCTTGACAACGTGCAGCAACTGCTTGGAGCTCAGCACGTCGAATCTGTTCATAATATTCTTCAGCAAATCCACATCTTCTGCTGTGAGCCCGCTCATCACCTGTAACCACTCCAGCAGCTCGACGAGCGGAAGAAAATGGTGCTGGCCGATTTTGTACAGCGAATTGTAGTAAAACGTCCCGTCCATCGGATCCTGTTTGTTGTTGTGGAAACGTGCGACATTGGTGAATTTTGTCTCAGCTCCAACGATACTTTCTGGGTAGCTGTCATCGTTGAAGTCTAAAGTTTCAGCCCGATACGGGACCAGGTTGTTAGCTCTGAGCCAGTCCTGGATGTAGGACATATTTAGTCTAATCTGCAGCGCCTTGACACGCGTATTGTACTTTTTGTTGGCTAAAACTCTGTTGAAGACAGAGCTGCCGAGCCAGTACAACACTGCGGCAAAGCATTGCTGTTTGTACACGTCGTTCACGTGATGAAGCTCTAGAACGTAAACCAGTGCTCCCAGAGTTTGGATAACTTTCAATGGCGACGGTTTCATCTGCTGTTCCAACGAAGGAGGATACAGCATTTCAAGGATCTCGTCGTAGGTAGATTTCAGAGCCACTTTCTGTTTGAACACTCTCCATTGCGCCTTGTACACGGTATCCAGGTCTGGAACACTGCAGTAGTCCAGAATGCACGGCTCCAGCAACGGCTCCAGCTTGGCGTCCATTACAAATGCCAGCTGGAAAATCAGCGACTGCACGGTGGATATCAAATCCTGGAGCGTTTTGGGGCTATTCGCAAGAAACGGAGAGGCCGTGTCTCTGTGGAAAAAATACTGGAGATGATTCAGACACGAGATCCAGTACCCAAGCAGAACAATGTCCGTCTGGGGCCCTGAAGACGGCTGCACAACGCCGCTCTTGGTGTTGGTGATACTTCTGACTCTTGTGAAAAACAGATCCACAAATGTCTCGGCCAGTTCCATGCTGTCCATCTTCCCGCTGATGTACCGGACCGACTGGAAGACTACGGCGGCGGGATAGATGGCCTTGTGCGGGTATTTTGCGTGCAGCGAGATGATGTAGTCTATAGTGGCAGAAATGCTCTCGTCGCTGACTTTCACAAACTGGCGTCGCATCAGGTGGCCAAAGTCAAAATTGTCTGTGTAGAACGAGTCATCCAGCATGCTAGCCTCGTCGTCGTCGACGAATTTCGAGCCCGAGTAGAGGCCATTCGTCTTCGTGTTGTCACTGTCCATATGCAGCGCCTGGACGTGGCTCTCGAACTGCTCATCTGTCGGGAGCAGCGGGTCTTTTTTGTAGAAGCTGCTGTCGTTCGATTGTGGTGCTGTTTTGTCCAGATAATTGTGCACCTTGTAGTAGTTATATATTTCAGACTCCGGCTTGAGCATATCGAGCGCGTTCTGGTGCGACCGCTCGCTGCGCAGGTACGGGTCTGCGTCGTGCTCAAGCAACACCTCGACAATCTTGACGTTTTCCAGATACGTCGCCCACATCAGAGGCGTCCACTGGAGCAAAGAGTCGCTTTTGTTCACGTCCACGATCGCTACCAGGGCTGTGACGCACTCGATCGAGCCAAAACAGATGGCGTATATCAGCGGACTCAGGCCATTGAGGTCGATGTTGTTGAGCTGCGACAGCTTTTCGGGGTCCGCAGACGAGATAAACCGCTTCAGCAGGATATGATCGTTGGTGGTGCATGCGAGACACAGTTGGGCAAACCAGTCCGAGCCTGCGGCCAGTTCCAGCGCTTTTTTCGCCGCCTGAACCTTGGCCCAGTTGGGATCTGCCGAAAGCACAGAAGAAAGTGACGCTTTCCAGGGGTCCAGCGACATAGAAATAATGCAATTTTATTCTATATTTCTTGAGTGGAGGGAGGTGGTGTATAAAATAAATAATTCCTTTAACTTATATCTCATGCCGGCGCAGTTCAACTTTGACCACCGGTTGCAGTCGCGAGTAGCCAGAAATAGGGACAGCGTTGCTGCCGGACACGAATTGGAGCCGCTGGAGCGGTCGCAGTCTCCGTCGTTGTATGGAAGCGCTTCTGATCGCGACGCTATACAGCTGATCACCCTTAAAAAGATCACGTCGCGGCTGTTTGAGAATCCGCAGCAGCTCGAACAACAGGGCGAGCCCGTGTGCATTGCGGTTTGCGCTAAATATATTGCCTTTGGAACATCCAAGGGTCACGTGCTGGCGTTCAACTACGACCAGTCTCTGGAGGCTGCCTTCTTTACCGGAGTGCCCATCACAGCGATCTCGTTTTCGCTGGACTCTAATTCGCTTGCCACGGGCCACAGAACCGGCCAAGTGAGCATTTACGAGCTTTCGAACCAGGACAGGCCGTGCCACAGCTTTGACTCTCTCAGCAGCCCGATATCCACGCTTTCGTTTATCGGCAAGCGCCATTCGGCTCTTCTGAGCACCACGGACGACGGCAGGCTTGTGTACCATCACGCCACACGCACGCTGTTTGGATTCAGCTGCAGTTCGCGAACACTGGCGGAAAATGTCCTTGCTTCCGCACAGCTGTTGATGGGCCCCGTGGCTTACCCTACAGACACTATGGGCGTTCTCGCGCTGATGTCGCCGTCCGGACTGACGGTTTTATCGACAGAGCCGGTAGTGCAGACTCATTTCAGAGTCGGGAAACCCAAAATTCTCGACGAGACCGACACTTTTGGCTGCGTCCAGTGGTTTCCTGCTACCAAAGAGTTTCCCGCCCTGGCGTACTCGTGGGGCAACGTGCTGACCTTGATAGACGTTGTGGCGGAGAGATATGTCGACGAGCGCAAAAGCGAGTCGGTCTTGCTCCGGTACGAGAACAAACGCAGGTACCCGTGCCAGGAGCCCATAGTTGCCATACACTGGCTGAATGCCAAGGTTCTCGTGGTGCTGACCGTTTCACAACGCCTTTTCTGTCTTTCGCGGGAAAAACTACAGGTTCTTACTGAACAGGACGTGATGAACAAGCACGTGAAGCATCGGCTCGCAGACTCGCAGCATCGCAGCTTTGCAGCTACGAGTGCAGTTTTCCGAGGAAAACTATTTGTTCTGGGAAAATACCAGGCGTTTTTGGGCTCCCCACGCAACTGGGCAGACGAGCTGTTTGAGTTGCTACAGTCGGGCCAGTACATTAACGCACTGGAGACGGCACGCATTCAGTACGATGGACAATGCGATCTGGTTTTAATCGGATTGCCAAAAGATGACGCCGAACGTCATCAGAAAATGCGCCATCACATCATGCAGATGCTCGAAGCGTCCTCCAAATACATCTTCACCGACCAGTCGGTTCTTGCGATGGAACCTATGGCACGAAAAGACGTTCTTGCGCAATTCCTAGCCACTGCATTCAGAGTCTGTGTCAGTCTGAAACCGGATCCGGCGGTTTACGAGCAGCTGTTTGAGAGATACGTGGCCAATGGGCTTGAGGATGTTTATTTCGGCATTCTGGAGAAGTTCATCCGCAAACAAGAAATTACTGTCCTGCCTCCTGTCGTGCTACGCAAAATGGTGGCTCGCTATGTCTATGACGGCAGAGGCCATACTCTGGAGGAAATGATTTGTTTCTTGGACTTGAAGCAGTTGGATATTGACCTGGCCATCACTCTGTGTCGCGAACACCACTTGAACGACTCGCTAGCATACATCTGGAACACCATGCTGGACGACTATATCACCCCACTCATAGACGCTTTGAAAGCTTTGAAAAAGCATAGCAACGAGCCGGAATACCGCGATTCCGACTACGTGTACGCATACATAGCGTACATTTTGACTGGAAGACAGTATCCGACCGAGAAGCCGCTTAACTATAGAACGAGCGAGACAGCGAGAAAGAATATTTATTATGTGCTTTTCAGCGGAGCAGCCATTTCGTGGCCCCGCGGGACTCCAAAATTTCACATCGTCGATGAAGAAAACGTAGTCGATGAGCCTGCGTTCCCGTACCTTTTTCTGCTGCTCAAGCACGATGGAGCTCTTTTTTTCCGGTGTCTGAACGAAGTTTTTGAGGACACTTTTCTCAACGACAACGAAGTGTTTGGGTTTTCCAGCAACTCAGACACTTACGAGCTAAAGGTGAGCCGCCAATACATTCTCGACGTCCTGATGGGCATATTTGGCGAGAACGACTTTGGCAGCAAGTACCAGACGTATTTGGCTGTTTTCATTGCCCGGAACTATCCCAAATACATGCAGTTCATTCGACTCTCCAATTCTTTGCTGGAGGTGGTAATTCGCGATCTCTGTGCGTATCCCGTTCCTGAACTCAAGGAGGAATGCGAATTGAGCCTGCAGAGCCTGCTTTCTGTGCACAAGCCCAGCACGTCCTTGGTACCAATGCTGGAGTCTGCCGGGTTTTACAACGCACTAATGAGCATTTATCAATCTGAGCAGCGTGCGCTCAAGCTGCTGGAGCTTTGGATTGAGCAGAAAAACAGGCCAAAGGCCACGGAGATCATAGAACGCTGTTTCAGACTCGTCAGAAACAATACTGGCGAAAGGCTCGACGTGGAGCAGTTTCTGGAACGCCATTTCTCCGAGTTTTGCGCCGACCCTGCCGCTGCAGCCAAAGTGTTCTCCGAGCACTGTCAAAAGCTCAACTCCAAGGCCCTCGAGCTGTCTCAGCCGCAGAAATACGAATATCTGAGAGCAGTGTTCGATATCCGCTCTCAGACTGGACTCGAAGTATCTTCGGAGATGGAAGTTGCCTACGCAGAGTGTCTGCTTGAGTACGAGCCTGCCAGTCTCAAGCAGTTTGTGCTAGGTTGCAAGACGGACGAGAAATTGATGCATTTTCTGAGAGAAAATCAGCAGTTCGAGACGATTGTCGAAATCCACCGCAGAGCAAACGAGACCGAACAGGCCGTGGAGGATATCATCCAAGCCTTGACCTACTGCGCCACACACCTCAAAAAGGCAGACAACAGCGACGTCCTCTGGAGGTATTTGTATCTGGGCTTTGACGTCATTAGCGAATCGCGGCTCACTCCAGACGTGTCGCAGGATCTCCAGCCAGACGAGAGACTATACCTGCGGCTTGTGGAGACTGCGGTTGGATTTTTTGTGGCGGCCGAAGGGCCGTTACTGGACAGTTTCAAGCGGCTGGTCCAGGACGCATTCACTACGCTAATTAACATCAAAAGAGACCACTCAGACTCGTTTTCTCGCATCTTCAACGCGTTCCTGACGCGCTCTTCTGTCCAGCTGACGACGCTACAAGAGGTGCGGCCCGTGCTGGACGAGATATTTCAGGCCTACTCTCACCAGGAGGTGATCTACAAAATCATCTTGCGGCTGGTGAACAACGACATTTTCCAGGAATTGATGGTGCTACAGGCGAAAAGAGAATCAGGCTGGTCGCTCGCCAACCTGGAGTGCGAGGTGTGCGGAAAGCCGATCTGGGGGTCGAAGGTGAGCGCCCAGGTGTTTGATGAGTGGCAGGAGTACCGTGTGCAGGGCGTCGTGCGCGCGCCGATCGACGCAAATATCATGGTGTTCCAATGTCGTCACGGTTATCATACAAGATGCCTACATAACATGGGCGTCGAGAGGGAGTGTATCCTGTGTAGAGAAAAATAGAGCCACATTTATGCCTTGGTCTCGTCCATCCAGTCCAGCGTGTACTTTATGCCGTCGGCAAGACTCACTTTGGGCCTGTAACCGAGTAGTTCCTTGGCCTTGGAGATGTTGTGATATCTGTTGGCACAGGCCATTTTGACGCGGAACGGCGTGAGCCCGGGCTCCTTGCCAATCAAGCCACACACCAGCTCCGACACATAGCCAATTGCGATGGCCACCGGCCGGCTCAAAACAATAATTTTCTTGTCGATGTGGCCGTCGGCCTTCCACACGGTTCTGGCGAGCGTCCAGAAATACGTAGGGGCGTCGTTGGTCACGAAAAACGTCTCGCCGCCTACAACGGCGGCACACTCGGGGTCCAGCAGTTTCTGGGCTGCCAAAACGTGCGCGTCCGCAACGTTGCCGGCGTAGCTCCAGTCAAAAAGATTGTTGTTGTCGCCGACCTGGAACTTGGTCTGTCCCCTGCGCAGCACCTGACGCAGACCAGGAACAAGCTGACGGTCACCTGGCCCAAAAATGCCCGCCGGCCGCAAACAAACGGTGTAGAAGTGTTCTTCTGGCGAGTTAGCCTCCATCACCAGTTTCTCGGCAATTGCCTTGGTTTCGTTGTAGCCGTCCATTGGGACCTCCGGAATAGGCCATCTCTCGTCCGCATTGTAGATGTCGTGTCCGTCGAAGATCACGCCAGCCGACGAGGTGTACACAAGAGCAGGCACCTTTTTCTGCTTGGCGCAGTGGAGCAGGTTGGCAGTGCCGCGCACGTTGACCTTTTCGTACACTTCTTGGGCAAGGCCGTGCATTGGGGACGCCGAGTGCACAACAACCTGTGGCTGGAACCGGTCGAGAGCGTCCTTGACGTCCTTTTCGGAGGTCAGGTCTCCCACAAACACGTCGATCTGGGCTGGGTCGAAGGTGAAGTACTTGGAGATGTTTTCGGGCAGTGGCCGCACGTCAAACACGTGGATCTGGGGCCGGTTCTCAAGCTGCCAAAACTGCTCAATCAGATGCAGTCCCAAAAAGCCGGCTCCTCCCACCAAAAGCACAGAATCCAGAGCCATCGTATAAAGGAAAAATTAACGAGACAAGTGAAATTTTCTTCTTTTCGACGCGACGGTGACCAACTAGGTAATGTGCACTTTTTCCGCGTTGCACCTGAAAATCTTTTTAATTAATGACTGAAAAACCAGCGGAGTCGAGACTTTGGGGCGGCCGTTTCACGGGAGCGACCGACCCGCTCATGGACCTTTACAACGCGTCGCTGCCGTACGACCAGAAGATGTATGCGGCGGACCTCGAGGGCACCAGGGTGTACACGCAGGGACTGCACAAACTGGGTCTTTTGACCACGGAGGAACTGTCTGAGATCCACCGGGGGCTCCAGCAGATCCACAAGGAGTGGGCAGATGGCAAGTTTGTGGAGAAGCCCGGCGATGAGGACATTCACACGGCCAACGAACGGCGGCTCGGCGAGATCATCGGCCGGAATATTGCTGGCAAGGTGCACACGGGCCGGTCCAGAAACGACCAGGTGGCCACCGACATGCGGATCTATGTCAGACAAGAGCTCAAGAAGCTGGCTGTGCTGCTGAGGTCGCTGATTGAGGTCATGGTGGCACGTGCCGAGAAGGAGATCGACGTGCTGATGCCAGGCTACACCCATCTGCAAAAAGCGCAGCCAATCAGATGGGCGCACTGGATCAGCATGTATGCGACGTATTTCACCGAGGACTACAAGCGGTTGCAGCAGCTGATCGAGAGAGTGAACGTTTCGCCGCTCGGCTCGGGTGCTCTTGCTGGCCATCCGTACGGCATTGACAGAGAGTTTCTGGCCGCAGAACTCGGCTTTTCGGGCGTCATTGGCAACTCGCTCGTGGCCGTCAGCGACAGAGACTTTGTCGTGGAAACGATGTTCTGGTCGTCGCTGTTCATGAACCACATCTCGAGATTTAGCGAGGATCTGATTATTTATTCCAGCGGAGAATTTGGTTTCGTCAAGCTTGCGGACGCGTACTCGACCGGCTCGTCCTTGATGCCGCAGAAGAAGAACCCGGACTCGCTGGAGCTGCTGCGTGGGAAATCTGGACGTGTTTTCGGTTCGCTGGCCGGATTTATGATGTCAATCAAGTCGATTCCATCCACCTACAATAAAGACATGCAGGAGGACAAAGAGCCGCTGTTTGACAGTCTGACGACCGTGGAACACTCGATTCTGATTGCGACCGGCGTGGTGTCGACGCTCAGCATCGACGCGGCCAAGATGAAGGGCGCTCTGTCGATGGACATGCTGGCTACCGATCTGGCCGACTATCTCGTCAGAAAAGGTGTTCCGTTCAGAGAAACCCACCACATCTCGGGCGAGTGTGTACGCAAGGCCGAGGAGGAGCAGCTTAGCGGCATCGACAAGCTGACTTTGGCGCAGTTCCAGCAGATCGATCCAAGGTTCGAGGAAAACGTTTTCGAGACGTTCGACTTCGAGGCCAGCGTCGAGAGAAGAACGGCTACCGGCGGTACCGCCAGGAGTGCGGTGCTCAAGCAGCTGGCACAGCTCAAACAGACACTCCACAAATAAATACGGGTGTTTATTAACTAATATTCCACGGTACACATCAACTATAGTGCTCCACCTTGTCCAGGTCAATCAGCTCCTGCGGAAGGTTGTCGTACTTGGGCCGTGCTCCAAAACTGAAACTCTCCATCCGTGACTTCTCCTCCTTCAGGAGCGGCGAGCACAGACATTCGTCTGTCATTGCGGGCTCTGCTTTGGGCGACGAATGCACAGAGCTCACGGGCGATCTCAGCGAGCTGGAAGAGCGGCATAGGACACTGGCGAGGTCATCCTGGATGGCCGCACCGGTGCGGCTCAGCGATCTACGGTGCTGTCTGGGCGAGGCGGGACTGGAATATTCTGATGCGGACGACGGCCGATGCAGTGACTGGTGTCTTTGGTGCGGTTTGAGCGAGAGCTCGCCAAAAGAGCTGGCTAGCAAAATCGTGCGCGGCTGCTCGTACTTGTCGTACTTGAGCTTCTTGCGGCTGCCGGCATGCTGGAGCGGCGACACGTCTGCCTGCCAAAGGTTTTTTCCGTCGCTCTCGTTGTCGGATTCTTGGATCGTCGGGGTCTGAGGAGTGTTTAAATAATTAGAGCTTCTGCGACACTTCTGCGGCGACTCCTCTGGCTTTGGGAAGGAGTAGCTGTTCATGGCGCGTTGACATTCTTCCAAGTCGTACGCCTCTGTGACGGAAGCTGAATACATGCTAGTTGGATGCCTCTGGTGCCTCTGGCGAAAGCTGGCGTTTTAAATACTGCACCAGGCAGCTAGAGGACATGCAGTTGATAGCGTGCATTTTTTAAGCGACACACTGTCAAGTTACGCTTGCATCCAGCACCCAATCAAGGATTGTTGCAGCTGAACTAAAAAGCAAAGTGTCAATTATGTATCGTAGCCTACAGATACGACCTGCAGCAGGGTTTTTCTGTTCTTGCTAAAAACAAGCGAATATGCACGAGAACTCGGTAGCGAGATTCCTTGCAGCAGTGCCAACTACAAAATGACAGGACGAGACGCACGCAGTGCCAAGTCGTTGTCTGCGACAGCTACACAGCCTTCCACAATTATCTCGCACATGAGTTTCCGCTTGGCGTAACCCCGTACTCCAGTTGCCACCTATTTGCGGCTTCTGTGACGGCAGAAATGGTGTGCAGTAGCAAGTCTGGCGATTCGACACAGATGCTGCAGAACAGCACTGATTTCAGAAATGAGGGTATGGTCTCGTCATGATTTTTGAGTACATCCGATTGGTGCACAGCATCTCATTGTCATCATACAAATCTCCAGCACTTCCAACTGCACTTTCTTCACCAAAAGAACGCGTACTTGGTAGTCACATAACTAGTGTCAAAAAAATTTTCCAGCTTTTATTTCGAGGTCGTGCGCCGCCCGCACAGATTCGGTAGCAACCATAATCTAGAACGCGGGGCTGCTCCGGAACCATGGGGACCAGCTCTACTGCTTCTTGGGCGGCCACAGCTGCCTAAGCAAAAATCCAATCACATCGCGGTCGTCAAAGTACTGGATATGGGACCCCACCGCGCTGATCAGGTCAATGTCGAAGTAGCCTTGCGGCAGCGAGTAATCCACCCGTCCAGTGCGATTTAGCCCTTCCAACAGCTTCCTGACATTGTCAGGGATTTCCTTTTGCTCGCTAAGCTTCGGATTCTTATCCTGTTTCTCGCCAAGCTGGGCCGCATCACCAAGTCCTGCAAAATTGATAGCCCGACGCAAGTACTCGTTATTTATCAGGTTATTCGGCAGCTCGGCAAGAGACTGGATCTGCGAGTTGAGGCTGTCATCCTCAAAAGAAATGGTTTCGGGCTTGATGCCCGCAAGCAACGAATGCACCAGAGGCTCGACTCTGTAGGCCACCGGGTCCGTTGGGTAAAAAATATTGTAGTAGTTGTTGACTTTAGGAGAGCTCACATTGTTGCGGCCCGCACTATCGCGGGCCCGGATATTGTGCCCCTGAATAAGCTTGAACACGCCATTCGGCGAGCCGAGTCCAAAGAAATTCTCCACCGGGAATTTGAGATGTTTCTGAGGGTCGATGTCCTCCACAGAGTCCGGTTGGGAGCACAAAATATCCAGACAGATGGCAGAGCCTAACGAGTGGCCAAGCAGGGATATCTTGCCATCGAACTGCGGATGGCGCTCCATATACTTGTCGTAAATGGCATTGGCGTACTTGACGACGCTAGACAGAATCTGCTGCTTGAAACGGGGCTCATAAAAAAGTAAAATGTCCATAACCACGTCTGCTGCAAGATGTCGTAGTGGTGTGATGGCATCGATATTGATTTGGTTCAGCGTGGGCAACCGCAAATGTCCGTCCTGCTCGTATTCGTCAAATACCTTATCTAGCGAGAAGTCCACGTCAAACCGCCAGATGATCGGCAGCACTTGCACCTTGCAGTTGCTAAGCTTTCCGTCATTTTTGTGTCGCGCAATTTCGTCTTCTGAGTAGGCCATTTTCACGTATTTGGGGTTTTGGGTGAAGAGCTGCTTGAACTGTCTTCTCATGTTGTTGCAATCGTGGGCAAAGTTGATAGACGAGAAACGGTAGCTCAGCGTCTGGCCAATCCCGTGGATGCACAGAATCAAATGGTCCACTTCTCGGTCGCCAGAGTTGGCTATGAAATTCGGGCTTGTGTAATCTGCCTCCATGTCTTTCTGGAATCGCTCGTTGCTGGCCTGTCCCGTCCAGCTCTTCATCCAGGACGTCAGCAGGTCCTTCTCTTCGTCCATCTTTTCCTCACGGGCCTCCTCGGTTTTTTTCGGCTCCGCTTTCTCGTATCCCCGGGTGACAGTGTCTGCGCCCAGAACCTGCTGTGCTGGCAGCTTATAGAAATTTTTGATCTGAAGCTTGCCGACTTTCGAGCCCTTTGAGATCATGAACGCCGTCTTGTGATCTTTGAACACCGCAATCTTGTCCTCTTTCTCAAAATCGGTCGCTTTTTCGAACGGCCACTTCTTCCCTTCCCGCTCGTACAAATTCACCTCCGACGTGATCTCAGCCGTCAAGGGCTCATTCGATGCCTGCGACTCGTTATATGGACCCAATTCCCTGTACTTCTGCTCCAACTGGTCCGAAATTGGCGCCGGAAGCGGCATGTTGTCCAGAAACCAGAGTCCCCTGCGTATCTCGTAAGCAGGGCCCTCCCAATAGGCTGGCCGCATAATCATTTGCTCCAGATTGCAATCAAACAATTGGTCCTCATTTACTGCCACCTCCCTAGGACTCCCTCCCTTTTGCCAGGAAAGAAATGCTGCTTCCAGGTTATCAGAATCGGTCCTAGCAAACGGGATGAATTTCCTGGGACGTTCCGTCTGCTTGTAATCGAACCCTCTGGGCTTGGAAACGGGGATGTCGGTGGCATAAAACCAGCGAATGGCAGCCGACGGGGTCGAATACCGTCGTATGGCAAAAAGGAATCTCATTTGGCCGCGACAGATCTAAAGTGAAACGAAAAAATATGTTGGGCCTTTATTTATTAAGTTGTCAGACATTAATTTTATATTTTTATTCTCTATGTTTAATCCTTTGCAATTTCAGCGACGACGGCGGGCTTCGGAGGATGATGACAGCAGCGAAAATGAAAGTCCTGGACTGGGAAGGCCAACGGACGCCGCAGACGAACGGCCGCTCACAGATGTGGACAAACAGTATGGTATCGGTGCCTCGTTGCTGCGTCAGATGGGTTACGTCGAGGGAAAAGGACTGGGAAAGGCCGAACAGGGAATCGTGGCCCCCATCGAGACCAAGATGCGACCGCGCGGACTGGGTATTGGCGGAATCGATGAGAAATCTCCCGAAGAAGTGTCGTCTGACGATGAGCCAATCTCCGAGGTGGCCTTTGAAAGCACTCTGCCGTCCCTGTACTCGCTGATCGAGCAATTTGAGCAACTTGGTATCACCGTGCCTGTAAAAATCAAAGATATGTGTGACAACGGCCTAGAAACGGTTGAAATACGAACAGCTTTGGTGGGCTTGCTCAAACAGCTCAAAGATGTCCAGACCAAGATCGATTTTGCTCAGCAGGAGCTGGAGCAACAGCGGAGGATAGAGGCGATGTCCAGAGAGCGCCGCTTGGCGCTGCAGCGAGTTTTAGACGGAAATCATGGGACGATCGAAGATGACGAGGACAGGGAGATGGCAGCCAAGATGCTGATGGCCAAGCTAGAGCCCCTAGTTCGCGAGCTAATGGAGTCGTGGGATCCTACCAACCTTGACCCGAGTGTTCCAGATCGGCTGCTGGAGTACAGGAGCGAGTTCTCGCTGTTTGAGTCTGATCACGACAATGCCTACCAGGCTCTAGTCAGTGAATTATGGGAGAAAAAGGCCGGCGAGTTCTATGCCACAAAATGGTCTGTTTGGCAACCAAATCTGGGGATCGCATTGATCGAGGATTTTCAAGAACTCGTGTCTGAAGCGGCTGTTGCGCGAGTATACGAAAACGTGCTGCTGCCGAGATTCAAGGACGAAATCGGCAACTGGAAAATGGAAGAGCCTGGGCCGGACACCTGGCTGACAGACTGGCTGAACGTGATGGATGAGCGGCTTGTCGACCAGGTGGTGGCGAACATTTTCCAAAAATACGCAGACTGGATACTCGTGGGATGGAACATAGAGGAGCAGCAGCTTCCGGCAGAGAGAGTTCATCTGAGTCTGTGGCTTGATCTGTACGGAGACGAGCAGACCAGACAAAAGATGGAGTCCTCGGTGATCAAAAGATGCGTCCAGGAGCTGAGAAAAAGCAAGCTCCGGAATGCTGACGTTGTGCAGTTTGTTGCTCTTCTGCGTGCGAACAGAGTTCGCTACGACAAGATCGACTATCTGCTCGAAAACGAGTTTGTGCTGTCGTGGGCCGACCATTTTTACTCCCTTCCAAACGCAAGGGACCAGTACCACTACCTTTTCAACTCTCTGGTGCATCTGTACGCACGGCTATTTTCATGCTACCATTTTCCGCGAGTCCAAAAATATCTTGTTTTGGCACTCGACCACCTCAACTTCCTATATAAGACTTCCCTGCAACAGCTCCAGATGACTCTCCCGCCGGAACACCGTTTTGTTTCGCAGCGGGAGTTTTCGCTATCCAAGCTGGTGGAAGCCACCGAAAAGCTCAGTTTCAAGCCGCAAAGAAAAATCACCATTACTCTCAAACAGCTGCTGGACGACTACTGTCAGGAGCACGACCTTTTCGTTCTGCCCGAGTCCACTTTGATGGCAGGAAAGGCAATGTATCGCGTGACCAGAAACATGAAGAGCGGTCTTCTGATCTATCTGGACGACGACGTCGTATGGGCGAAAACTGGTGCAGACTTCGAGCCCGTCGCGTTTAACGAATTGGAACATTATGTACATTAAATATTTACAGTCTATTTACCCTCCAAAGTCTCCTCGATCACCTTGGCAGGCACCTCAGTAGCGCTCTCGACGGCGTCGGCGACCTCTTGCGAGAGATCGGTTGCCTGCGGTGACTGCACCAAAACGTCGGTCTTTTCAGCAATTTGGCCCACAGACTCCTCTGTTTTCTCGACAACCTTCGTCGCCACGTCAGAAACAGTCCCAGAAACAGTTTCGGTAGCCTCCGTGACGACAACCTCCGCTTTTTCCGCAGCATCCTGAGCCTCTGGAACCTGGCCGTATTCGTCATCCTCTCTCAGCTCCTCAGCATAAACCTCCGGATATTTCTTGAAACACTCCTGCATTCCTTTAAACTTTTCAATGCAATCAATTCCCTTGGGCTCCTCCTTGGAGTAGACAAAGCACGAGAAAGCGGCCTTGAACTCCTCTCCACAAGGCCCGTGAGCCATACCTCCAAGACAAGGACAATCCCAGTTGATCTCTCCCGTTTCAGGGTCGTAGGCTCCCTTCTCGTCATCCTGCTCAATCGTCTCGACAGGTTTGTCAGCCTTGTCGGCCAGCTTTTCCTTGTCAATAACCGACTCCATCGAAATCGGAGAGGCAAAAGTGTAGGCGATGAATCCTGCAAAACCGAGCGCCACAACAACGCCGCCCGGGGCAGCAGCGGAAACGTGCCGTCTCGAAAAGGACGACGAGTGTCTAGCGAGATTCCGCGAGGTTCTAAGCGCAGTGCGGGACAACAAGGAGTACATGCTGATTACTAAGTAAATTTTTCTTTAGTTCAATTAGTTAAACGATGGTTATGAGCGAGCGAAAAAGCGCGGCATGACCAGCAGCGCAGCGCTGCCCACAACAGCGATGATTAGGGGGTAAGCTGCTTCAGACAATCACGCAGCAGCTGTTGGTCTTCTTAGCCTGTTTGTAGAACGTGCGCGAGCTGGCCGTGAGTGCCTCCGACTTGTCCACAAGCGAGTCCAGCTGTTCGCCTCTCTGGAGCACCGACTCGATGCTCTTCTGGAGCACAATCTTGGTCTCGTCCAGCTCCTGCTGCACCTTCATGATGGCATCAGCCTCGGTCGGGTTCTGGTATTTTGTCAGGTAAGGCTCCAGGCTGTCGAAAGCGAGGTCTGGCGTTTTTTCTGCAACGGTGGCCCATTGGTTTGGAGGATGGATGGATATATACTCGTCGAGGATCTTGTTCAGCAGAGTATACGCTGGTCTGATGGGGTAGTCTTTGTCTGATATTATGACACCCGAAATACCCTCTGTTCTGGTGTAAACATGGCCGATGTAGTTGCCTTCTTCCACAGACTGTCTCTGGCCAGGTGTTGTTCTTTCGGCGATCGTTTCAGCAAAGAAAGTCATGAACTGGCCCACCGAAGAGCGCTGGAAGAACGAGAACGAGGACAGATCCTTAGCCTCGGCAAGTTCCAGCGTCTTGGTGCCGTTTTTGCCTGGTCTGACGACTCCTAGGTAGAAGAGATGCATAGGGGAGATGGATTGCTTTGGTGGGGGGTGTAAAAAAAAGATAGCGCACGCTGAGCAAGCGTGACAAAATGGTGCGGCGGCAGACTCAGCAGGCGATGCGACTGCGCAGCCCGCACGATGAGAAGACGAGCTCCTGCAAGAGTATGTGGTCCCTGTTTGACGGCAAAGGTCTTGTTCCCGCCAGTCGCCAGCTCGTGTGCGCTGCTGGGCCCCTCCACCAAAACTTACCCGGCCAAGCACATAAAGTTTTTTCCCACCTCAAAATTACACTCAATGTCCGAAGACTGGAAAGCAAACCTCAATCTCCCGAAAAAGGACGGCCGGCCGCAGACAGACGACGTGCTTGCCACCAAGGGCAACACGTTTGAGTCGTTCCACCTCAAACGAGAACTTCTCATGGGCATTTTCGAGGCAGGCTTCGAAAAACCGTCGCCCATCCAAGAAGAAGCCATCCCGGTGGCATTAATGGGCAGAGACATTCTCGCTAGAGCGAAAAACGGAACAGGGAAAACGGCAGCCTTTGTGATTCCAACTCTGGAGAAGCTGAAACCGAAACTGAACAAAATACAGGCGCTAATTCTCGTTCCTACTAGAGAATTGGCTCTTCAAACGTCTCAGGTCGTCAAGACTTTGGGAGCCCATCTGGGTATCCAGGTCATGGTCACTACTGGAGGAACCTCGCTCAGAGACGACATTATGAGATTGCACGAGCCGGTGCACGTTCTGGTGGGTACTCCAGGAAGAGTGCTGGACCTAGCATCAAGAAAACTGGCCGAATTTGACGAATGTCGCATGTTTGTTATGGACGAAGCCGACAAGATGTTATCGCGCGAGTTTAAAAACATTATCGAGCAGATCCTCAAGTTCTTCCCTCAGTCGTCGTCCGGAAAGGGCAACGGCTACCAGTCGCTGCTCTTCAGTGCCACATTCCCTCTGGCCGTCAAATCATTTATGGACCAGCATCTCTACAAGCCTTACGAAATTAATTTGATGGACGAACTTACCTTGAAGGGTATCACCCAGTATTATGCCTTTGTGGAGGAGAAGCAGAAACTGCACTGCCTGAACACTCTCTTTTCCAAACTGCAGATCAACCAATCGATCATTTTCTGCAACTCCACCAACAGAGTGGAGCTTCTCTCCAAGAAAATCACAGAACTTGACTACTCTTGCTACTACTCCCACGCCAAGATGCCTCAGGCTGCAAGAAACAAGGTCTTCCACGAGTTCAGACAGGGGAAAGTCAGAAACTTGGTTTGTTCTGACTTGCTTACCAGAGGTATCGATATTCAGGCAGTCAACGTGGTGGTGAATTTTGACTTCCCCAAGACTGCAGAAACTTATTTGCACAGAATTGGTAGATCTGGTAGATTTGGACACTTCGGTATCGCCATCAACCTCATCAACTGGAACGATAGATTCAACTTGTACAAAATTGAACAAGAACTCGGAACCGAGATCAAGCCTATTCCTGCTGAGATCGACAAGTCTCTCTACGTTGTTGGTCAGCCAGAAAGTATTCCAAGACCTTTCAAATTGGATCAAGTTCCCAACGGAAATGAACGCAACCACAACAAATACAACGGCCAACCAACTCAACCACAGGCTCAAAAACAGGTCGAGTATTAGTGGAAGCTGGAACTATCAGAAAATAAACAAAAAAAAAACAAAAAAAAGTAAGAAAATATCAAAAAACCATTATAGATCACCGAGAAAGTATCCAAGCGGTACCAAGCGAATTGTGACATAGCATGAAAAGATACAACACTCACGACTTAAGTTCTAGGATTATCTTTTCGCTTAATTATCAGCCAGAAAGCTTTTTAGCTTCATGTGGTGTGCTACGACTTATATGACCGTTTGTGCTTTACTTTTTCGCTCTTCACTTCGACACATTTGTACTTTATCAGCTGTTGGTTGTCGCTTTAACCAGCAGCATTTCTACATTCATAGTTTTTTTAATTTTTTTTTTTCACTATAGCCATTAGTTTAGTTTTCCGCCTCAATGTAGTCGGGGTTCTTCTTCAATATCACAACTCCTTCAAGGAAATTCGTGAGGGGAATATATTCGTCGTTTTCCAGCTCGGCCCTTTCTCCAAACCCAAGAAGAACTGGAGTGGAGTGAGTCACCCATCCAGTTATGGTCTTAGGCTTTCCGGCCTGTCCGACAACATCCACTGCCTGACCAACTCTAACGTTCACTTTCAAAGGCTTGAGCTCTTCGTCAACAGTAACAAGCATGCGAGGCTTGATGGCCGGCGTCAAGTAGTACAAAAGACTCGAATGCTGGTCCAGAATGAAGGAGGTTGGATCCAAAAGGGCAATAGTAACGGTCAAAAGCGAAGCAAGAGAGACTTTGGACAAAATTTGTCTGTCCGTGTTGAAGGGAGACAACGTGAATGTCCCTTTGCCCAGATGCACCAAACCCTGCGAAATACGCGTCATGAACAAAGCGTTCTGATCGTTCACGTAGTACGAAGCCAACTGTCTTAACAGCTGGGCCAATCTAGCATTGTTGGTTCCTGCACCAACCAAACCCATACCGAAAATGGCATTGTATGCCACATCCAGATCCTGGTCATGCGAATATCTTGAAAGCGTGTCAAACACTTTCATTTGCGCATTCGAAGAGGACACGAGTCCCATGGCCAAAGGAACAGCTCTCTTGATCAGCGGAGTACCATAGTGCATTAGGTGTCCGAAATGACGCAACGACATCTCCTGACCAATTTCCTCTCCCATAGAAATCAAAGCAAGTCCCAAAACTGCATAGCCTTGGTAGGACTCGTCCTCTTGGGTTTCTGTGCTTTCTTGTTCGCTGTTCTCTTTCTTCTCTTTATTACTGTCTTCGTCTTCTTTCTTTTCCTTCTCTTCCTCGTCCTCGTCTTCCTCCTTCTCCTCCTTCGGTTTCACTGTGCACATTTGCAGCAGAGATTGGATCTGCAAAACATTACCGGTTCCGGCATAAGAACAGATATTCACCAGAACCTTCAGAGTTTTGGAAATTGGATGGTCAATGGCATCGATAGTCTCAAGAACATCATCCACCTGGTCGTATTTTCCCATGTAAAGTAATCCAAGACCAAGAGACATGAATCGAATCCACTTGGAAGTTAAATCGGAAGTCTCCTTCTCCAGCAGGGTCTGCAAAATGGTTGACGTGATGTCACCGTTGCAAGTTCCAACGAAAACGTGACCTAATGCAAGAGCAGAGAGCGCTTGAATCTCAACCGAAACGGATGGCTCTGACACAAGAGGCAACAGCAAATTCATCACCTCATCGTTCTCGCTGCCTGCAAAAGCAATGCCAATTCCCGTAATGGCAGAAATGATCATCTTGGAATCAATATTCGAATCGCTGCTGATGTAATCCTGCAGCAGCAACAGTGTTGGATCCACTTCATCGTGGACGCTGGTGGTCGAAATGCCCATTCCCAGCAATGCACCTGCTCTCACTTCGCTCTGCTCAGAGTACAAGTATTTATCAAGAGTTTGAAGACCCTCATTTGCATCCCATAAATTGATCAACCCTAAGGAGGCAGTTGTCAACAGCATTCCTTCGCCTTTAGTTCTGTATATCCATTTCTCGTCGCTGATGAGCTTCTCTGATCCGTAACCGGCGTTAACAAATGCGTTCACAAACGCAGCAGCCAGATTCTGCTTTGCGCTCTCTAATCTAGACGAATGGCCAAACAGCGAGTTCTCCAGGTGAGTTTTGTAGATATCGTCTGGAACTTTTGGTTTTAGCAAATTCAACTCACTAACAAGGTATTTGAAGTACTCGCTCAGCTTGACGTTGGATATGCACTCCTGCACGGCCTCGTTGTCGACCTTGAAACAAGAATTCTGTCTGGCAAGCATGAATCCCAACTGTTTCTGCACCAGCTCGTCGCTGGTGGCCTCAAAAACAGACTTAATCAAAGACTCATCGCCCAGCCTGATAGCCAGACTCAATGCCTGTGGTAGCTTATCGTTGGCCAAGTAGATGCTGAACGCTGTGTTGAGGAAGGCAAGGTCATCTGGAGGAGCAAGCAACGGCACACACGACACCATATACAAGCAAACTCTGTTGTACGTGTTCTTATCGACGAATTGCGAGAGCTTTTCTATTTCTTCGATTTCGAGCAGGAGATCCACAGCTTCGGCCTCTGCGTTGTGTTTGAGGAAATAAGGTACAATTTCCAAGCTCAGCTTGATTAATTGTTCGGTGTGGGTGTCTTCTCTATTGACTCCGTTCTCCAGATTCTCCTGGTACTCCTCGCCGATCTCCAAAGAAAGGTGTCTGAGATACTCGTGTCCCCATTCAGAGATTGTCGAGTCGATGTTGCTGAGCAGTCTGTACTTTAGGCACTCCCTCTTGTAATTTTCGCCATCCTTTTCGCTGTACGTCATTCCCAACACGGAGAGAATGTCTGCAAGTTGCGACTTCAGCTTTAGGTCGGTCCAGTTGCTGTGAATCGCTGTCAATGCCGGATAATGAGGTCTGAGAAATTTGAGCGGTTTAGGCACCGCCGTCATCGAGGAGGTAGAATCTCTAATGAATCTTTTCAGATTGTCCAGCGCAGGGGCGTACAGGTCCTTGTTTGGCTCGGACAGGCGCTCGACAAGCATCTCCAGCTCGGATTTGAACTGGAGATCCTCTTCGCTCAGCTCCTCCTCGGCCCTCTTGCTTTCGGCGTTGCCCTTTTGCTCGTCCTTTGCAGGCTCTTTGCCCTGCTCAATGGACGCTCTTCTGGTTTCTTGTTCTTTTGCAGGTGCCATAAAGAAAACAAGTGTGTTTACGAGAGTGGCAAAATCCACGAGTCGAAAAAGTTTGAGGTGCCATGGGCTACTGACACGCAAAGTCGATTTGGCAGAAAAAATTCGAGGGTGGTAGCATATATTAGTTGTTGCACAGCAGATCATTGATCAGCCAATTGAGCTCGTCGGGACGGCCAATGTTCGGGTCGCTAAGCTGCAAATTTGGCTGTGTGAGTGCTGCGGCCGAGGACGGCGGGTTTTGCTTGCCGTTCTGCGGATCCGGCAAGTCTGTTTTATTCTGCTTTTCTGCTCCGTTCGAGGCCTGTTCGCCAGGGCGCAGCGGCGACACGGCCAGCATCGACGCCGGCGCAGTGATGGTGGACGACGACGACGCAGGCGGCGGCTGCGGCTCTGTTTTCTTAGGCTTCAGAACAAACGAGATTTTGGACAGCTTCTGTCCCGGTCCGCGTTGCAAATACTGGCGCTGCTGCTCTAGCAGCGCCACATCGTCCTCGTTTTTCAGCTGGTTATTGCTGAGGGCAAACAGCGGACCGTTGGGCTCCACCAGATGCGGCGCCGTCTCGAGAGTATCGTACAGGTCCTCGATAGTCATCGTGACGGGGCCCCGGGAGTCGTGCTGCGGTTTTTTCTGCCGGATGCGCACCATGTCCAGCGCACGTTCGATCAGACGCTTCAAATGGTATTCCAGGCCGATAGACAGCACGTCCGGCACGCTGTCACCCACGGGCCCCACCAGGCCATGCTCGCGCGCAATTCCCAAAACACGTGAGCGCAAATGTGTCTTGTCTGGTAACTCGTACGTTTCGGAGCACAGCGGTGTCTGGATGCCGTCCAGAACGTCCTGGGCCCACTGGCTGGTGTTGCCCGCGACATTTGACTCGTTGTTGGTGACAATGGGCACGCGCGGCACAATCGCCTGTCTGGTGAGCGCAATGGTGGAGTTTATCATGCCGCGCTTGCCTGCCTCGCGCTGGATGCCTTTGAGCCGGCGTCGCTCTCTGATCGGCAGCGATAAAATATCTTTTTTCAGCAGCTCGTACTGAGATGATTTGGTGCCTGCTTTTCGTTTTTTCGAGAGCTGCTGATTGCCAAAACCCGTCGAGAGTGTTCCGTCGAGCGGCTCGTCCCTTAGCGAGTTGGCTAGGTTCGTTAGCAGGAGCTGGTTGTGCAGTCTGTAGGTTGATTTGTCCAGGATTTTGTCGAGCTCCTCCATCAGCTCGCGACGCGACAGCTTGCCGACAAGAAACATCGACACCGCGACCTGGTAGGTGTCCCAATTCTTGCCCAGTTTCTTCTGGAACTCGATGACTAGTTGGTCGATCTCGATCCGTCTGGAGGAGCCGTTTTTCGTTCTGGGCAGCAGCGAACCATTGGCAATGTGTGCTGCAGAGGCCGCGGAGGACGGTGTGGACGCAGCGGCGGCCTGTGGGGGCGGAGACATGGCTGTGACGGCCATACTGGAGTTGCACAGAGACTAGCGGAAAAAGGCCTAATTTATGTGGCTAAAAATCGGCTGGTGCGAGAAAAATGCTCTTTTTGATGAGTCTGCTTGGATCGCGTGCGCAGAGAAACGGGTCTGCAGGGTTCGAACGGCGCAGAGTGTTTCCCCTGAAGTGTCTCTGTAAACCTATTTTTCTTCAACTTTTCGTGGTATGCCAAGATAAAGCGCGTGTCACTAACTGGGAAGAAATCGAGGAGATATTTTTAGTATCTAAATTGGGACCTTGTTTGAGTATAAAAACAGCACCCAAATCCGAGTTTCATGACAGCACCTTCCAAAACCATGGACCAGTATCACGTATTCAGGGTGTTCCAGCAGAATTTCGTTGTCGACCGCCGATTCCAGCTAATCAAGGGGCTGGGACAGGGAGCCTACGGAATTGTGTGCTCGGCCAAGTACATCGAGGCTGGCGACGAGGGAGGGCACGTGGCCATCAAGAAGGTGACCAACATTTTCAGCAAGAAGATCCTGTGCAAAAGAGCGCTGCGAGAAATCAAGCTCCTGCGCCATTTCAGGGGCCACAAGAACATCACTTGCTTGTACGACCTGGACATCGTGCCGGATCCCAACGGCAACTTCAACGAGATATATCTGTACGAGGAGCTCATGGAGTGCGACATGCACCAAATCATCCGCTCCAACCAGCCTCTGACCGACTCGCACTACCAATCGTTCGTCTATCAGATCCTGTGCGGACTCAAATATATCCACTCGGCGGACGTGCTCCACAGGGACCTGAAGCCGGGCAATTTACTGGTCAACGCGGACTGTGAGCTCAAGATCTGTGACTTTGGACTTGCGAGAGGCTACTCGAATGACCCAGAGAAGAACCAGGGCTTTCTGACCGAGTACGTGGCCACGAGGTGGTACCGTGCGCCAGAAATTATTTTGAGCTTCCAGGGCTACACCAAGGCCATCGACATGTGGTCTGTGGGGTGTATCTTGGCGGAACTACTAGGCGGGTCTACCATATTTAAGGGCAAGGACTACGTTGACCAGCTCAACGAGATCCTCAAGGTGCTAGGCACCCCGAACGAGCATACCATGCAGAGCATCAAGTCGTCCAGAGCACAGGCGTACGTGCGCTCGTTGCCGTATATGCCCAAGGTGCCGTTTGAGAACTTCTTTCCGCACGCCAACCCGTTGGCGATCGACCTGCTCAACCGCATGCTGACGCTAAACCCTGAGGACAGAATCACCGTGGAGGACGCGCTGCAACACCCGTACTTGGAGGTGTGGCACGACCCGAACGACGAGCCGGTCTGCGCGGCCAAATTCGACTTCTCGTTCGAGGAAACAGACGACATTAACGAGATGAAGCAGATGATCATCGAGGAGACCCGCTCGTTCAGAGAATACGTGAGAAGACCGCTCGAGGAGCAGACGATAGTAAGCGAGCAGTACGGCGCGACGGGCGCCTACGAGATGGACCAGCCGCAGCAGCAGCCGCAGCTGAAGACGCCGTTCGAGGGCCAGGTGGCCGATTACGAGCTGCCCCCAAAACCGCAGGAGATGCTCTACGACGAGAACATCGACCTCGAAAGAGAACTGGCGTACGGGCTGGACGGCTACAACTTCCAGTACCAGTGAATATCGTTCCTATAGTACAGTATACAATTCGCATCCGTCATGACCAATTCTGCCTCAGCCACGCCAACAGTTTATCATAGACGATCGTGTTTGCGTTATGGTAGCGAATGGAGTGGTCGCTGTCTGGAAAAACGTGCACGTCGTAGTTCTCCAGACCCTGGAGGTCCAGCATGTCCAGAAACTTCAGCGAGTTCTGGAAATGGACGTTGTCGTCGCCTGTTCCGTGCATCAGCAGGAACCGCTCCACGCTGGCAAAGTTCGCAACCTCGTGCACCGACGAGTTGTAGTATCCTGCATTCTGTTGCGGCGTGTGCATGTATCTCTCTGTGTAGATCGAGTCGTAAAGCAGCCAATTGGTGACTGGAGCCACAGACATACCGTACTTGAACGTGCTGCCCTGGTCGGCCTCCAGCGTCTTAAGCGTCATGTAGCCGCCGTAGGACCATCCCCAGATGGCCGTTCGTTGCTCGTCAATGTATGGTTTTGCGATCCAGTGCTTGGCTGCGTCGATCTGGTCGATCACCTCGTAGTGTCCGAGTTTATCGCGTACAATGTTTCTGAATGCCTTTCCCTTGTAGCCCGTTCCTCTGCCGTCAACAGTCACCACTACGGCATCCAGTTGCGCGGCAACGACCGAGGAGAACACCGAGGCTGCTAGTGCGTATTGTTTCTGCACCAGCTGCGAACCTGGACCCCCGTACACAAAAAATAGCAGCGGATACTTCTTTGAGGCATCGAAGTTCACAGGCAGCGTTTCGTGGAAGTTGAGCGGCTTGCCAGCCCCAACATCAATCTCGCCATACCTGTCTTCGGGAAGAGCATATTTATCAAGCGTTTCTGCGAGCTTGTTGTTGGAAGTGAGCGTTTCTCTCGTGTGTAGATGCAAGTCAAGCAATTCCTGGTGCGGAATGCCCGGTCCGTTGTAGTTGAGCAGCAGGAACCGCGAGCCGGCGGAAAATGACACCGAGTACCATGCTTCCTGGCTGACGTCTGTGATGCTGGTTTTATTGGAGCCATCCAGGTCGATCGAGTACAAATGTCTCTCAACAGACGACTTCTCGGTGGATATGAAGTACACCTTGTTCAGGACGGCGTCAAAAGCGGCCGCGCCGTCCACCACCTCCCACTCGCCCGACGTGAGAATAAGCGGGTTCTCTGTGTCTGGCGGAGAGAAGTACGCCAAATGATCGTATCCGTCCACGTCGACGATGTCAATGTAGCCGTCGTGCGGGCGAGAGTCCGACTTCGGCACATACAGCAGGTTGTGGCTGATCTCAAACCACGAATTTGCATTAGAGCCGTAATCTGAGCGTTTGAGCCGCGACTCCATCGCTGAGGCGTCCACAATGAAGATTTTAAGAATGTCTGATTCTCTGTTGGTGATTTTGAGCAGGAAATCGGAATCGCCAACCCATTTGACTTCTGTGATCAGTCTCTCGTCATTAGGAACATCCTTGTCGTTGTAGAAGGCGTCAGACGGGTCCAGCGAAGCCAGCTTGTCGTTCTTGGTGTCGTACACAACGAAGTCGACCAGGGGATTCGGGTACCCTGCTTTTGGGTACTTGAGCTCGCGCAATTCCGGATACACGTCGTCCTTGTGCTGTACAAAGTACGGGATAGGGAAAGTTGGCACGAGCGTGTCGTTGAAGCGCAATATTGTCAAATATTCGGAGTTTGGAGACCACCACATGGCAGTATCACCCTCAAACACCTCCTCCTCGTAAACCCAGTCTGGCTTCCCGTAGAAGATCTCTTTACCTCCCTCAAAAGTGACCTGGCGCACCTCGTTCAAAGCCAGGTTCTTGACATAAACGTTATTATCCACAATGAAAGCGATGCTCGACGAGTCTGGCGACCATTTCGCCAGCGACACAGGCAATGTGCCGTTGTACAGCGGGCTAATTTTCTTGGAGTCCACTTCGAGCACAAAATACGTAGCGAAGAAGGAATGTCTCCAGTTATGGACCTTATCACAAATAACCAGAGCGTGTTTCAAGTCGTCGCTGAAAACGATGTCCTCAATCTTGAACATGGAGTCGTTGTATTCCACAGCCGTTCCGGAAAAAAGTATGTGCTCTCTCTTGTCCGTCAGCGACTTAAGAACGTAGTCGGCGCCGTCTATAACGATGTACTCTCCCGAGTCGTTGAATGCCGAGGAATCGGTCCTGAGCCACTGTATGCTTTTTCTTTCGGGCGTAAACGTCCCGTTCCGTGTGGCCGCCAGAGTGAGAGACAGTTTTCCGTCTGGAAAAACAGGTACGAGCGGCCTTTGTCTTGCAACGCTTGCTTCTTTGTGGTTGGCGTAAAGCTCGTTAATTTGGCCAATCAGAACAGAAGAACAGTACACCAGGACCACAAGAAGAAGCAGAATGGTGCTCCAGAACTTCCGGGGGCCTCCCCTTGGCCTGAGGATCGGCTCAGCCGCCCAGTTCTTTTCCTCTGTCATGTCTGTTGTAAATTTAACCTAAGAGGAAATATTTCTATTTAAGGTTGCTCAGTCTGTCACCAGCCACTTTTTGGGCTTGAAAAAAGGGATCTGGGGGAAGAAAAAAAATAGAATAAAAGGGAGAAATATAATATAACTTGATTATGACGAACAGAGACTCAGCACAGGAAAAGTTGGCCAACCAGGACACCCAGCATGTTTGCGGAAAAACAAACGTGTACGTCTTCAATTGCTTCCATGGTGCAACGCTCAACGACGTCCATTTCTCAAACGACAACAAGGGGCAACATATCTACTACAGCCACGCGTCCAACATGGACGAGGCACAGGAAGTTGCAGAGTACGTAAACGAGTTTCTGGGACACTTGCACGAGCATATAGTGTTGAGGAAGAGACAGAAAACTGAGCAATCAGAAAACCACGAGGAGTTGGCAAAAGGGGAGCCACTGCCCACTCACGTTCGGCCAGAACCCGTCATTCCTGACTCAGTGGTACAATTGGACCTGGTGCAACAAGAAGCCCCGGTAGAAGTTCTTTGTGGGTTCCATCACTCGCTAAGCCAGGAGCAGGTCCAGTCATTGTTGGTGGAAGAAAACGAGGTTTTCTCCCGACTCCATAGCCGGCCGCTAACGCAGAACGATCCTTTTTTCTACTTCAACGACATGTGGCTATCAAAGCTCGTTCGCGAGAAGAAATACAGACTGGTTCATTACCAGTACAAACTAGAGCAAGAGTTGCCCGTGGTTAAAGGCTCTACTGTGTTCAAGGGTGTAGCTCCAAAAAATTGTCCCTACGTTGCCATGACGTTTGCCCAGTGCACACAGTGCTCGCTTGTGCTACCTTACAAGGGTAAAAAGAATCCACGCAAAAACGACGGAAACGCGCTCTCGCATGCTAGAAGACACGACAAGAGGACTAATTGATGGCAACGTTGCTTTGCATTGCTTGATATTCCGGCCTCATTTCTTGAATACCCAAGGTGATTCACCAAATCGTGTTTCCAATATTTATTTGACCCGATCGCTATTGTCCTTGCGTAATGCTAAAATTTTCCATGCACCACAAAATGGATCCAAACTGAGTTAGTATAGTTAGCTGATCAAAGCCTCGATACCCTTTATTAGATTAGTCAGGATTCCAATATAGTCTCATCCTGGTTACTTGCCTCTGCCATGTTTCTACAACCGTTCTCATCGGAGCCCGAACTTTGCCATTTATTTCACTCAAGATTGACCAAGACTACCAATATACTGCCCAACTACACTTCTAGAAGCTACTGAGAAGATGGTGGCTACTATTCCATCATTAGGGCTATCAATGCGGAATTTAATTCCGCGCATACTCCTACCAAATTCAGGAATCGATTCAAGATAAGAGAATCTTTACGGTTGCAAACAATAGAGATTTCTGCCTCCCCTTTTTATTACTTCTGCAACCCTGTGATAAGCAAGATTGCATGCAATCTCTTTGTAAGGCATTATCTGTTGAAATCCATATTACATCGACCAAATTTTGAACGAAATCTAGCAAGCTTTCTACCAATGAGTAAAGAGCTTAAAAGTCAGGTTACTGTTGATGCCATACAGCTCGACCAAGAGTCCGGGAACTCCTCAGCTCAGAGGTTGGGATATGACCCAAATTCGGGACTGAAACGAGGTCTTAAAACAAGACATGTGACTCTGATGGCTCTAGGAGGCATTATCGGCCCCGGATCGATCGTTGGTTTGGGAGTGTATCTCCATAAGGATGGTCCAGCTGCTCTTGTGGTTGACTACAGTATAGTGGGGCTGGTGGCTTTCACGCTAATGCAGTCAATCGGGGAGCTAAACTTCTTGTTCCCTTCTACAAACGGGTTCTCGAACCACATTACAAGATTTGTTGACGAGGCCTTTTCGGCAATGACTTCGTATAACTACCTGGTGGTTTGGATTGCTGTTCTCATGTCTGAGTACATTTCGCTGTCGTCTACTCTCAACTTTTGGGCCCCTGCAGTGCCGCTCTGGGGATTTTTCCTTATCTTCTGGGTGTTTTTCTTGTCGATCCAATTTTTAGGTGTTGCAGGCTACGGAGAAGAGAATACTGGCTGGCCATTATCAAGCTTCTTGGACTCACCGCGTTCTACATTTTCACTATTGTCTACATGAGCGGAGGAGTTAAAGGTACCCCTGCCTTTGGATTTAGGAACTTCAAGACTCCATGGGCAGACCAATCCGCCATGAAGTCTCTTGCAAGTGCCATTGTCAATTGCTCCACTGCATATGTGGGTGTTGAGCTTATGTCGTTGAATGCTGCTGAAACGAAAGACCCGATTAGGGCCATCCCAATCGCCGTGAGACAGACCCTGATCAGGATCATCTACATCTTTTTGGGTCTTGCCCTGTCTTACGGTATTGCTGTTCCTTATGATTCGCCTCAATTCTCCAGCACAGTGACTTCTCTCCGTTCGCCAATCTATGTGGCCCTTTACAACGCAGGGTGGCACAATGCTCACCATCTGGTGAACATTTTTGTTGTGATTGTCGCTCTGAGTGCTATCAACTCTGCTATTTACATTGGCTCCAGAACCATCGTGAACATGGCAAATGAGAACATGATCCCATTTCCCAAATTCTTCAGCAGAGTCAACCGCCATGGAGTGCCGTACGTGGCTACCATCACATTTAACGTCTTTGGGTTCCTGGGTCTGTTGTCTGTTGGAAGTGGCTCGAAGACAGCCTACAGTTGTTTTGTGAGTGTTTCCGGCGTGTCTAGTTTCTTTGTCTGGTCCGCCATTTGTTTTGCACAAATCCGATTTAGGATTGGCTGGGTCCGCAGTGGACGCAAAGTCTCAGACTTGCCGTACCGATGTCTCTGGTACCCATTCACACCTGTGCTCTGCATATGCATGTGTCTTTTCTTAGCCCTGATCCAAGGTTGGATGTACTTGAAGCCATTTGACCACTCGTGGTTTATCGATGCGTACATCATGTTCCCACTCTCTGCAATTTTCTACTTTGGCTACAAGTTGTGGAAGAAAACGAAATGGGTGAAGTACGAAGAGATGGACTTTGAGACTGGACGCAGGTATGATCTTGAAGAAGAATTGAGACATCTCAAGCTGGAGAGACAACTGAATCCGCTCACGCGCAAGCAGAAAGTCAAGGAATTTTTCTCCGAGTGGATTTGACTTCGCTATGGCTCTCGTCTATTCAACTACAATGATAAGAGGAGAGCTGCTGGCAGAAATTAAAGAAGAGTATTTAAAAACCGTGCCGTTTATTTCCTTCCAACGTTCTTTTGTACCTGCTCTGCTCTTCGTATCGAGCTAAGAAATCAGAAAAAAATGGCTTTATGTCCCGTGACTTTGTCATGTGTGGCTGTAGCGGAAAAAAAAAATTCATGCATAGCACGCAAAGCAGGAACAAATTTATGACAGATTCGACTGAAAGTGTTGGCCTTGCTATAATATGAATAAGGAGCTGACCAACCAAGTTTCGATCAGTTCGGAGCAGCTGGATCGAGATTCGGGCTCGCAAACTTTAGACCAGAGATTCGACCCACACTCCGGGCTCAAGAGAGGTCTGAAAACCAGACATGTCACACTTATGGCTCTGGGAGGAATTATTGGACCTGGGTCGGTCGTTGGACTGGGTGTCTATTTACACAAGGATGGCCCTGCCGCCCTGGTCATAGATTATACCGTCGTTGGAATTGTGGCTTTCTCGCTGATGCAGTCTATCGGAGAGCTCAACTCTCTGTTCTCTGCCACTAATGGCTTTAGTAACCACATCACAAGGTTTGTCGACGAGGCGTTTGCTGCCATGGCCTCCTACAATTATCTGATTGTCTGGATCTGTGTTTTGATGGCCGAATACGTCACTCTTTCGTCGACAATGAACTTCTGGGCTCCCCAGGTGCCTACCTGGGGCTATTTTCTGATCTTCTGGGCCTTCTTCCTATGTGTGCAGTTCTTGGGCGTAGAAGGGTATGGTGAGGCGGAGTACTGGCTTTCTGTTGTCAAATTGCTTGGCTTATCGGCATTCTACGTATTCACCATCGTGTACATGTGTGGAGGAGTGAGCGGAACACGGGCGTTTGGTTTTCGAAATTTCAACACTCCCTGGGCTGGCCAGTCGGCCATCAAATCTCTGGCGAGTGCCATTGTCAACTCGTCAACAGCATATGTCGGCATTGAGCTATTGTCGTTGAATGCAGCGGAGACTAAAAACCCCATTAGAGCTATTCCTATTGCCGTCAGACAGACTCTGATCCGAATCATGTACATATACGTGTGCATCTCGTTGTCCTATGGAATCACCGTTCCGTACAACTCGCCACAGCTGTCAAATGGTGTGAGCTCTCTGAAGTCACCGATTTACGTGGCTCTGTACAATGCAGGCTGGCACAATGCGCACCATCTGGTAAACTTATTTGTGGTGGTGATATCTTTCAGTGCAATCAACTCTGCGCTCTACATTGGAACAAGAACCATCGTGAACATGGCGAACGAGCACATGACGCCATTTCCGTGCTTTTTCAGCAAAGTCAACAGACGTGGCGTGCCATACATTGCAGCCATCACATTTAATTTTTTTGGCTTGCTTAGTCTGCTTCAAGTTGGAAGCAGCTCCAGAACCGTCTACACCTACTTTGTCAACGTTTCTGGAGTGTCTATCTTTTTTGTGTGGTCATCAATTGCCATTGCACAGATCAGGTTTAGAAAGGGTTGGATCCATGCGGGTCACAGCGTACAGGAGCTGCCGTTCAAATGTCTCTGGTATCCTTACACTCCGGTTTTCTGTGTCTTGATGAGTCTGTTTTTGGCCTTGATCCAGGGCTGGATGTATTTGAAACCGTTTGACCGCTCGTCGTTCATTGACGCTTACATCATGCTGCCGTTATCGGCATGTTTTTTCTTAGGCTACAAGATTTGGAAGAAGACCAAATGGGTCAGTTACGAAGAAATGGATTTCGACACAGGCCGGAGATACGAGCTCGAGGAGGAGCTGAGACGGGTCCAGAAGGAGAGGCAATTGAATCCTCTTACGAAAAAACAGAAACTCAAGCTCTTTTTTGGAGAATGGGTCTGATGCCACCAAATAAATGCCGTAATATTAAGTATTATTTTCAACATCACCGAGATTTTTTTTTTCTGCCGCATCGCCGCAGCCACCCAATTACACGTTTTGCAGCTGTACGTAAAGCCACTCTTTTTTTGAATAATTAAAGATCTTCGATGTCTTCTTCTCGTGAACAACAGTCGCTAGATTCGGAAAGCGCAGTTGAGTCCCAGATCACGTACGGTGCTACCAAGTCTGACGACGAGGAGACCGTTCTGTCTGTTTCTCCAGCTCTGCCCCCAAATTTCTTCTGGATCGAGTGCTCTCTGCTTGCAAACGTCTTTCTTGCAGGTTTCGACGGGACGGTGACGGCATCCACATACACTACCATCGGCAACGAGTTCAAAGCGGCCAACACCGCGTCGTGGATCACGTCGTCCTACCTCATCACCAGCACTGCTTTTCAGCCTTTATATGGGTCTTTCTCCGATGTCCTTGGACGGCGAGTGTGTGTGATCGGAGCCACAAGCTTTTTCATTCTGGGTTGTCTTGGATGCGGCATCTCGTCCAACATCTTTGTTTTGGACGCCATGCGTGCCGTGACAGGCATAGGTGGAGGCGGCCTCATCACGTTGGCAACCATCGTCAACTCAGATCTCGTGGCTCCAGAAAAACGAGGGAGCTGGCAGGCCTTCCAAAACCTGCTGCTGGGATTTGGAAGCATCTGCGGCGCCTCTCTGGGCGGTGTTATAGCAGACACGCTCGGCTGGAGATGGTGTTTTCTCGCGCAGGTTCCCGTCGCTCTGGCTGGCCTCGTTATTGGATACTTCTATATTCACAACCCCAAACCGCCCCATGTGCACGTTTCTGTCCACATGTTTGACAAAATCGACATTAAGGGCGCCACGGCGCTTGTGCTGTCGCTGGCTTTCCAGATGGTTGTGCTTTCTCTCGGCGGAAACGAGTTGAACTGGTCTGATTACAGGCTGCTACTTATGCTTGTCTTGAGCATAGGACTTCTCTTTCATTTTGCACTTATTGAGCTGAGAACTTCTGCCATACCCATCATCCCTCCTGCCCTGCTCCATTCCTCGTTCAGCTACATCATTTTGGGAATAGGCGTGTTTCTCGGAATTTCCAGCTACGCGTATTTATTTGTCCTGCCGTTGCTCTTCCAAATAGTCTTGGGCGACACGGCCTCCCAGGCGGGCTTGCGACTCACCATTCCGGCACTCTTTACGCCTGTTGGTGGCCTCATTGCAGGCGTTTTGATGAGCCGCAAAAAATACAGTCTTTTTTCTCTCGTCGTTGCCGGCTGCACACTCATGCTTTTCGGAAATTTCGTCACATTATTTATTCACAAGGGCGTCAACCAGTGGGTGACAGGTCTCTGCTTGATCCCCGCCAACGTGGGGCAAGGATTGGCCTTCCCCACGTCGCTCTTTTCGTTCATTTACAATTTTGACAGAGACAAACAGGCAATAGCCACGTCCACCGCATACCTCTTCCGCAGCATGGGCTCGGTGTGGGGTGTCACCGGGTCCGCCGCCATCATCAAGCGTGTTTTCGCACGCAGATGTCTGTCAAGCCTCCATCGGGTGCCGGGACTCTCCGAACACCAGATTAGTACGATCATCAGAACAGTGTCCAAAGACATCTCGCAGATCCAGCATCTGGAGCCACAAGTCCGCAGTGTTGTTCAGGGCAGTTACGAGCGTGCCATCCGATTCGCGCAATTCCTTTCTTGTTTGTGCTGTCTCGCTTGTTTGGTGCTTGCTGGCGTGAAAAAGGCTGCCCGCATACGCTCACGGTCGTCATATGACGAATAGATGTGGCGGAGTCGCAGGGTATAATTTCCTGTCGAGGCAGCTTTTCGTGGCTGTGTGGTTCTGCGGCTTAATTAATAATGTAGCCACAATTTTTAAGTATAAAGCTACCCCTGAATACATCTTAATTCTGCCATGCTTGGCGCACTTCTTCTCCTTGCTCTTCCAGCGTACGCCGACTGGCAGTACCGCAGTCGGCCAGATTTGTCTCCTCCCAAATTGAACATCACCGTTTACGACGCAGAGAAAGTCTCTCCCGAATACCTCTTTATTGCTCCGTTTACGGGGGCCCCTGGAAACACCTTCCACAAACCCCGTCAGTCTGCTCCGTACATTTTCACTAGTGATGGCGAACTGGTCTGGTCGGGATACGGTGCGTTTGGTACCTGGAATGCCAATTTCCAGGCTGCCAGATACAAAGATGATGACGTCCTTTTCAGCTTTGAGGGTGACCATAACGCTGCCTATGGCCATGGACACGGACACCATACGGTTCTAAACAGCAATTACGATCTGGTGAAGGAAATTAGGGCTGGAAACCACAAAATCACCGACAAGCACGAGTTTCACATCAAGGACGAGAAAACTGCCTTGATCGAGATCTATCAGCCGGTGCCTCGCAACCTTGCCGAATTTGGTGGCTCTGAGGAGCAGCAATGGATCATTAATGCGATTTTCCAGGAGCTGGACCTCGACACCGGAGAGGTGCTGTTTGAATGGGCCTCTTTGGATCATGTTTCGCCAGCCGAGTCTGTGCTCCCCCTGAATGAGGGAGAAGCCGGGTCTGGATACAATTCCAGCGACGCGTGGGACTATTTCCACATCAATTCTGTCGACAAGGACGACAACGGCGACTATTTGCTTTCAGCACGCGACACCGCTTCTTTGTACAAGATTGACGGAAAAACAGGTGAAATTCTGTGGAAGTTGGGTGGCATTCCTGGGGTCACCAGTTCCAGTTTCAAGAACGTGGATGATTTCAAGTTCGGGTTCCAGCACCATGCTCGGTACGTTTGGACCTCGGAGGACGGGAAAAAACAAATCATCTCGTTCTTTGATAACTCTGCCCACGGAACAGAAGATAAGGACGGTAGCCAGGTCCATTTGAACAAAATCTCGAGCGGAAAAATTGTTGAGGTCGACACCGAAAAATGGGAGGCCAAGCTTCTGAGGAATTATCCCGCTCCATACGGTATTCGGGCCAAGTCCCAGGGCTCTACCCATCTGCTAAAATCAGGCAACGTTCTGGTCAATTGGGGCTCCGAGGGAAGTGTCACTGAATACACCGCAGATGGAGAAATTGTTTTTCACGCATTTCTAGACTCGGATGAATTTTCCGACAAGGTCCAAAACTATAGAGCTTTCAAGTTTGACTGGCATGGATACCCTTCGGAGTCTGTCGCTGTGCTTTCTGAGATCACCGATGACGACGAAACAATCTTTTATGTTTCGTGGAACGGCGACACAGAGACCAAGAAATGGAGATTCCATGCCGTGCAAAATGGTAGCAAGAAGTTGCTTGGCGAGACAGAAAGAACCGGGTTTGAGACTAAGTTAAAGATCAACAAGCCTGTTGAGCGGGTTTTTGTGGAGGCAATTGATGAGTCTGGAAACGTCTTGGCTTCGTCCGATGATGTTCTTTCCGTTGAGCAAGTGCTACCAGCGGAGAAAAAGTCCGACACTGGAATACTGCCTCCAAAATTTAACTATTTCCAATGGAGACTGCAGAAAGATAATTAGTTGACTGAATTTCTATTAACTACCGTACGTTTGTATTTAGATCTCGCTCAACCTCCCCTTGAACATAGTCTTGGACTTGGCTTGCACAATCAGAAATGCAGGCAACGAGAAAGTGCCGAAAGGCGTGGCTATTTGACCTGCTGCGTGTTCCGGACCCAGGCTGACACCACATGTAGGCTTGTCGGTGTTAGTAGGAGGCACAACCTGCTTGGTAAGCGGTTTGTCCTGGACGTAGGCTATCACGTTGTCCACCAGAACAGAATTCCACTTTTTCAGTGGAGCCACTGCCTTGATAACGAAATCAACACAATCTCCGATTGCAAATATATTAGGGCTGGCCACTGTCTGGAACGTTGGTTTGACTTTGATTTCACCCTTCTCGTTCTTAAGTCCTTCAAGCGGAGAGTCTGGCGTGTTTGGCTTGACTCCCGTGGTCCATATAATATGGTCGGTGGGGACTTCCTCAGATCCAGCATAAACCTTATCTCCGTCCAAAGTCGCCTTCTGACCAAGGTAGAGCTTGACATTCATGCCTTCTAGCTGGGACTTGACGCTCTGTCTAACAGAGTTAATTTCATGGTCGGACAAGACGTTCGAGTTGGAGTGTATCAAATTAATTCTTTTCTCGCCCTTCGCTATCTCGTCCTTGAATTTATGGGCCAGCTCTCCCACGAGCTCGCAGCCCGAAATTCCGCCACCGATAACGGTGATGTTCTTTGCACGCTCTACCTGTTCGAACTCCTTCTTGAAATGCTCGACTGCAGAATCCACGGTGTTCGGTAGCTCAAATTCGCGGCTGAGAATTGAGCCCGTGGCAACAATCAGAACGTCAAAAGCAACATCTCCGTTTTTGCGTGTGGTCACTTTTTTATCATCAAAGCTGACAGCCTCGTCATATATTAGCGTGATTGAGTCGCCGAAGATCTCTTCGAGAGTTCTAGAGTATCCATCCAGGTTCTGGGTAACAAAGTTTCTTGGAACTGAAGGGACGAAGTTGATATAATTTTTTTTCGAGATCAAGGTGATCTCTAATCCAGGAACTTTTGATAGCTTCTTTGCAGCAAAAGCGCCATAGAGTCCCGCGCCTATGATAGTGATTCGTGTCATTTTTGAATTTTAGAATGAAGTGGGCCAAACTGACAGATTTATAACTAAAAGCTGCACTAATATATTATACTTCCCGATTCACTACGTTTGTCATCTCAAATTATTAATTATGCAACTCCATGTTCGGGATTCCCTCCAAAACCCGTGTTTTATGATCTACGCTTGAAAAAAGTTTCGGCTTACCTTATCTGGGACCAATGTCGTCTAACTACTGGCCCCGAATGCCGTTGCTTAAAAATCAATTGATTCCGATACAGCAGGTACATTGAGAGCTGCCAAGAATTATTTGTTACATTCTAAAATATGTTTATTTTTCATATTAAATTATGATTACTCCATATTTGGAAGGTGATACATAAACGTTTTATTTCACGTAAATATTCTTATTTTCATTTCTCATGAATGCTTGAGAACGCTGCGCACTCGCTGAAAATCCGTCCGTCGCGATTGGATCTCATTGACAATAGGCAACTAACCTCCTTCCCGCTTCCGCACCCGAACTTCGCACAGACCAGCCCGCACGGAGAGCTTCTACTAGTGGAAGATTATATTCATTACCCGAAGGGTTTTCGCAAAAAGACCTCATTATTTGATATCAAGCGTGCCATTGACAATGATATGACACCTCCTGATGCATTGTTGCCGCTCTACTACCGCAAACAGAGCGTCAACTCGAGCTCTACCCTCAATAGTGAAACGGAGGCCTACATCAAGACGACAGAGTCTAACTTACGATACTGTGTTGTCTGTGACCGTCCGTTGTACGACCTAAGCTCTCTGCTCCCTCGAAGCCGGTGTGCAGAGATTGTTTGCTGCCACTGCTTCGAAGAGTACGAGACCCTCCAGGCTGCTCTGAAGAAAATAGATCCAGCACTTATTCACCTGTCTTCCGACACAGAGTCGGAAAATACGCCAGAAACAGTGAACCTGGATTTTTCAGAAGCAGACCAAACTGCAGAAACACTAGAGACGGCAAGAGATACTAACAATACCGTCTGTCTCCACACCACCCTCAACGATTCTGCTACCTTCGACGCCATTATATCAACTCTACGACGCATACAGATTGCAGACGAAATTGCAAGATCACAGCCACGCAGGAAACCCAGCCCCATGAAAAGCCTATTAAGCCTTAGGAGCAGGCTGAGTTTAAGAACATAACGAATCAATGATGTACTCATTTACGATAATAAATAATCTTATGCCCATTTGCGCTTCACCGCCTCAAGCTCGCCTTTGCCATATACAGACACTTTGCCCTGGAATTTTGCTTTGCCTCCACCTTTGAGGCCGGATAATTGTTCCTTGAGCTCCTTGCTCACCTGCTCAGTATCCTCGCCAAAAACCAGAGCAGCGCCTCCGTCCTTTCCTTCTCCAGATAATAATACGAAAGTTCCAGGCTGATCTTTTAGCTCTTTGTACATCTGGCTCAAGAAATCAAGCCCCACATCAGCCCTGTGGAAAAACACGGTTTTCTTCTCCTCCGCCTTGGTCTTCAAGTCTGCAGCAGTCAAAAGGGCCAGCTCCTTCAGCAACGTCGACTGTCTATTTTGCAACCTTTTGGTAGCAGTCACCAAATCGTTGACCTTGTCCACCAGTTGTTCGCTTTGTACCGAAGTTGCAGAGCTCAAGGCCCTCAGAATACTGTGAGACGATTCAGCGAACTTGAAGATCCTGTCTCCGGCAATAAAATTCAGTCTTGAATTGCCTCCTTTTCCAGCTATTTGATTCAATAGAACAACCCCCTTAATCTGTCCTGAATTTTTCAAATGTGTGCCACAGCACGCATTAGAATCCAAATCGCCAATGTGGATAATCCTCATCACACCTTTCACTTCGTCGACCTCACGATCGGGCGGAACTTCAACTGAGATTGGCAGATTTTGAGTGACGTACGAGTTCACTTCTTTTGTGACCTCCTCACGCTCAGTGTCTGTCAGCTTGCGAGGAATCTCAATGTAATTGATCATATCCCCCATGTTCCAGCTGATTGTGGGCAAATTGCGCTTGTCCAACACGGCAGAAAGAAGATGTTGGCCGGTATGCTGCTGCATATGGTCGAACCGTCTTTCCCAGTCCACGCTCAAGTTCACAGGAGCACCTGTCTCCAGAGGCTTGTCCACAAGATGCAGCGCCTTCAGTCCTGCTCTAATCAC